CTTAGAGAAACTAAAAGATGAGTCAAGTCGGCTGCAATAAGCTAGTCAAAGTCAAAATGAATAATGAAGGCTCCTGTAGCGTTCTAGGCTGTTTTTTGCCTTTCTTTGCGCCGCTGCAAACACACGACCTGGGCGTAGTGCAAGCTGCTCAAAAGATTTGTGTGTGTGAATCCATCTTGGAGCAGAAGGGTTTTCTGATCTCATTTACTGTTTGCTTCTGTCTAGGTTCCAGATTCCAGATTGATGATTCATCATTTAATCTGAATCTAATCCTTGTCTTAAGTCTTATATCCTTGTCTTACAAACGCTAGGCATTAGGACATCAGTTGAGTTGAGCTGCATCACTTTGGGTTTTCGACACGATCACGCTGTGGTCTGCTCGCCCCAAAGCTTAAAAGCATGGCAGTCCTACAGATCATGCCTGGACTCAAAATATATTCTCAAGCAAGGTAGTCATGTTGACCCCTAAATCCTAAATCCAGCCTTTGAGGGGAAAAGTTGTATGAATGAATCCAGAAGATCTCAAATGAAAGGCATGTTCACATATACACTATGAGACTACATCCATGGTCCATAACAGACTACATCCATTAAATCACTCAGTCTGAGTGTGATGTGTCCGTCAGCTCGTACTTCTCGTAGGTCTCACAATTGTGATCACGCGTCAGCTTTGTCCTTGCAGTTGCTCTGAAGTTTCCCGAGTTTCCTCGTCATCACCGGCCTCTTTGGTATAGGTGATGGTGAGAATGATGCCCTCAACTGCGTAATCGACCATGGTGATGGTGGTGTTGGAGAGATCTGACTTGCAGTCAGGCGGACACCCTCATCACTGCCACTGCTCACTGTCACAGCACTTGGACTCTTGACATGTTTGTCTTCATGTGAGCATTGTGAGTCAACTTGTGAGTCTTCCTCCATGTGTTCCTTCTTATGCTGCTTCCATTGTTGCTTGGTGAGAGGAGACTTCAGGTCATGGTCAGGTGTTGTCCTAATCCTTTTCGGAGGAGGTGTTTGCATCCCATCAAGACCATCAGCATTGTGATTCACCAAACGAGGGGGTGTTGTGGTCATAGGCAAAGGCGGAGAGGAAGGTGAGGGTGAAGGGTTTGCACCATCGATCAGCTGCCTTCGCACCCATGCTTGCGGAGGATCAGTTGGCAACCCCTTCATGAACTGATCGCTAACCCTTTGGCGCACATGTTCTGGTGTATCGATGCGGATCAGCTCATACTTTGTTGGGTTTCCAGGACATGATGGACCTGGTTCAAAGATAGCATTCATCATTTGTCTTTCTCTCACCACTGATCGAGGCAAATCACCGCCTTGACTGCCAGGCATGGCTACCCAAAAGCAGCCTAGGAACACGATCTAGAAGGCTTGACAAATCTGACACGGCTGCGCATGCAACAAGTTTATATTCGCGCACATCAACTAGTCTACAGTCTACAGCTTGCAGTCTAGGGTCTATGACCCTCGAATCTATGTTTAAATTCTGAAACTGAAAACCAAAGATTCTGGGGCATCCACATTTCTTCAAGAAAGTTCCATGTCGAATTCGGCGATCTGGACGGTCACGTTCCGCACGTAGCAAGATCTCTCCGAGTTCGCTTGCCATGCTTTCGCCAAACTGCTACACATAAATGGTGTTGGTGTTTGTTGCTGTGGTGGGGAGTCAACAGTCTGATTTAGGAGTTTATGATTTGCCTTGTTTGTTGCTGCGCCGCAGATTTCCAGGGTTGCAAGCATGTTGGCCCTTCAATGCTGGCCCTTCAGCTTGAAATACAAACAATGTTGAAGGAAAACACAAACATATCTTGTTGATTCAGAATTTGGACCATCAGGCACACATGAACCACTCTAGTGTCATCTAGTGCTTATTGTTTGTTGTTTGTTTCTTAGTTGTTTTCCATGTTGTTGAACATATGTCTGTGGGTTTGGTCGGCCGGAAGCGAATGTAACCAATATCAGTTCTGACAAACAACCCACACACAACAATCAATACAAGTGCATTCCAAATGGCTTCATGTGTTTGCGTCCTGTGTCCAACAAATTGCAATCGTTGAGTCAACTCAAAATCGACCACAACCATCACATGGTAGATTGCACAGACTCTTCTCTACACCATTACATACACCAGTGCACATATGAATCCTACATCGTACAAACGGGTATTGTACACCGCACGGATCACCGTACACATGTATCGTACACTGCACGGACCACCGCACACATGTACCGCACACTGCGCGGTACACCGCGCAAGTCATTGTACACTTGCTTCGTTCATAGCAACCGCTCGGCACGGTCACAGCTCACCATAAACATAGGTTCACATGGCTTTCAAATTTAGATAAGACATGACCCTCACCAAGGGCGAAGGTGTTCCAATCCGGCAAGAGATGTTAGACAGAATGTGATCTGCAGTAGTCAGAGTTCGAAGCCAGACAAGACGGCCCGATCAGCCCCTGCTATACCAGGAGCATGGCTTGATGACATCAGGAATCAGGACTGTCGACGAGGCCACAACCAAAGCCGTGACTGAAGCCAGGGAGTGGAAGAGGTACAAGGACTTCATTGCCGATTGACTGAGTGGGGAAATGAAACAGGGCGTCGCGGCGTCGAGTGGCGTCGTCGAATTGGGTCGACGTCATAGAGCATCCATGAACCTGCGCAAGAAGGCTGTAACCTATCTACAAGGGACGGCTCGTGGCGGAGAAAGTTAAACTTGCAGAAGGCGATGTGTGCGCTGTGACTCACCAACCAGTGAGCCAGAGCCACGTCTGACGCTTGCTTCACTTGCAGCTTCGCGTGTGTGTGTGTTGCCAAGGTGAGATAGGTCAGCGCCGTCGCACTTATATCCCTGTGACTACAAGTGGAGCGATGCTGGCAAGATCATTGCGCTGATGTGCGCTCATGTGGACGGTCTTTTGGTCGCTCATTCGATAAAGGGAAGTGCAGCGAAGACAGTGTTGGACAAATTCTCAGTCGGCAAGATTGAGGAAGGACGATTCCGATATTGCGGAAGATGCTTGCCCAGGACCCGGACTGCGCCATGCGCATCGATATCTAGGGCAACGCAAAAGGACAAGCCGGTGTGGCAGGTGCGGAAGACTTGACTTTGGTTATCGAGTGAATGAACTGCAGAGGACGCGCAGTCAGGGCAAAGGCAACGGTGCAGAACCCCAGGGACGCGAGCCAAGTCATTGAGCTGGCGCTCCAACGGATTATATAGTTCCAAGTTTTCGGAGCGGCAGGCTAGGTACATGAAGTATTCTCTGAAAAGTTGCAATCTTTTGCAGAGATGACTGGAGATGACTGGAGTGGCATGGCCTGATGATTGCGAGCTTCTCAGACGCAAGTTTCGCGAATGAACGAACCAGGTAACCAGAGTACAGTGTCCCTTGATTTGATCTCACGAGTCTCACGAGGCTCTTCGACTTTGAAGCGAGCAAGTGTGCAGAGCAACGCTGCAGTAGAAGCATACGCCCCACAAATGCAGTAGAGTGACATGTGAGATGCATGGCAGTATTCAGTCGATTGCGAGCTGGCGCGAGGAATGCCAAAAGAGGATGAAGAATTTCTAGATTACTGACTGGCGGGGCTGCCGTTCACTCAGCGATCCCTTGCGCGCTGATGCGAAAAGCGCAAGACAATCGCTTGGGGATTGAGTTGTCGAGCTTGAGACAAGGATTGTGGCTCGCGAAGGAGAGAAGGCAGCGGATCGCTAGGCGCCACACAGACGGACCTGACGGACACTTGCGCCCAGCTATAGGCTATAGCTGATTGTTTAACATTGTGCGCTCCATTGGAATAGATAGAGATGCGTAGAATTAGAACCGTGGACCGTGTATGCGCAAGAACTGCGCATCACATGTGTAGATAAAACGAGCATGAATGACTTGATCCAGTCACTTGACACTTGCACTATGTACAGCTGCCCAGGGGTGACACATACTTGCCGACTGGGTTCAAAGGGCTTTTGAGTTGTTGGATACGAAAACAAACGGCTCGTGTCAAGATTCAACAAAGTCTAGGTCGGCTCTTGAAAGCAAACAAATCACCTTAGACTCCCAGCCAAGCAAGCTCCTTCATTCGATCGATTTTGTTCTGTCGTGTTCAAAAAGATACGTGCCTTAGGCATGCAACTATTTCTAGCCGCAAATTTGAAGGCCTCTAGCCTCAGCATCAACAGGTGGTTCAGCATATTGAAATTTCAGACTTCGTGCCATGATCGTTGGTTTGATTGATCGGAGCTAAGGATGTAGTTCCGGTTCAGGGTGCCCATGTAAGCCGAACAGTAGCAAGGACGTCCTCGCAACTTGACATCATCACATTGGGTCACCTTGTAAGCTTTGTTTGAGTCAACCCACACCGAAACTTGGAATCGCAGGCTCCATTCAAACTTGAATCCTGTAGATTCATCCAACCTTCATAATCTTTGACCTTGGTGATTTCAATGCACGAAACACCACAGGTTTTAAGGGGTTTTGAGGATCAGTTGCGAAAGGTGTTGTAACCAGGCCGTATTTGAAGAAACGGTCGTTCTGGACAATGTATTCAACCTGTATAATTGCTGCGCTGCAGTCAGAAGATGTGCGCATTCCAACAGGGACTTATGTAGTGCCAATAGCCAAGCATACAATTCAGCAGTGTAGGAAGCCAATAGCCAAGCATACAATTCAGCAGTGTAGGAATTTTGCACAATGCCAACAACAACACATGATCTGATCAATTTGCAAGAAAAACTCATCCACAAAGGTTTATGTCGATCATTTGCAGGTATGTCAAAAGGCAAGTCTCAATATCTGCAGATTGCTTTATTGGCAGCTCAATTGTATGAGTCAGGGAGTCCTATTTGGAGCATGTTCTCTCCTAATTCTTGTGAGCATTCTAAGGAAACGCACGATGCATGACAGCATGACTCCGCTGTACCCCAGTAGACGGGTGTTGTTCTTTTTTCCACAGGCGCTTGCCAAATTTTTAGCCTTTCTGCTCGCTAGGATCCTTGGACTATTTCCTACGTTGAGTGTCATTGCACTGGCACGCGAATTGGCGATGGCATTGAGGCGTTCATGCGCTTGTGCAATGTCACACCCTGCCAAATTTGGCACAACGTTTGTTTATCTTCATGGCTCCTTTTGTTTGGCTCTGTGCTCGCAAATTTTTGTCCTTGATCTGTTTTGTCAAGCCTGCAATTGGAATTGGGTTTCACGCTGTGGCTATAGCATGCTATAGCCAGTGACTTTTTTTGTTGGGCAATGGATGCGACTCTGTGGTCACTGTGGTTGTCACCCAATCTCAGATTCACGGTCTTCTTAATGCCTTTGAGAGCATGGGTGGCAGAAAACGGGCCAGGGGCTCAGCTTGCAATGGCATCTTGTCCCGACAGACAAGTAGACCCCTTAACTGCTTGGTAGTGTTTCTGCAGAAAGCCAGCCCTTTGCTTGGACCACTGGAAGAATTGCAGACATTGCGCCGATGCGCACAAGGCAATCACATCCCATGTGTATTGGAGCTAGTAGAGAAACATGTACAAACTTGGATATTTTTGCATGCGAAACTTTGCGAGGATTCGTATCTCGATTAGTAAAGGACCTGTTCCCCCATGTTGGATCTGCAAGGACGGATTCAGACAGAGGCCAGGCCACCACCCTTTTGGGTGCGTCGCCAAAAGGTGCCTGGTCTGCTTTGACCCCCAATAGCTAAGGCTCCTTTTAAAAGGGGCCCTTCTCAAAAGAGGTCCTGGATTTCCCTGAGAATCGGCCCAATTCTCAAGCTTAGCAGCCAAGGCGGGAGACACCACAAATATTGCGCAGGAGCCTCGAAAAGCCTCCCAAGCCTCTCAAGCACTGCAGTGGTGCTGCAAGCACTGCAAGTAAGTCTCACAGTTCGGATACCTTTGCGGCACATGTATGTGACATGCGACCTGTGGATACATAAACGTTGATACACTTCCATGTTGTTCATCTAGATTTTAGGGGATTTGATGAGATGTGTATCAACATGTATTCTTGCCTTGTCCAAGTCTTGTCAAGTGGTTAATGGTATTTAACTTCTTCAATTGGAGCAGCAGAGCCAGCAGAGCTGGCAGAGCCTTAGGTTAGGCTCTGTGAAGGGCAACATCGCGCATGCAAACTGTGCTGCCGGAGCCACTGGACTCATCAAGGCGCTACCGATGCGGTCTGAAGATCGTTTGATTGCAGCTTCACATGTATATATAGTAGCTTCTTGCTCATAGTAGTAAGGCCAGGAGCCCCTAGTAGCGTCTTTGCTCCTTAGTAACGTCCTCATTTCACAGCTGATGACATCTGATGTAGCAACTTTAGATTCTTTCCCGTCACCTCGCTACAGAAGCCGGCTGATGCCACTTGCCTTGCTGCTAGGTGCTTGCTATGGCACGAGCCAAAAGCTTGGCGGTGCTCTCAGGGTGGGCCTGGTGAAAGAAGCGATCCGAGCCCTAAAGAATCTGACCCGTTCAAAAGGCTGCGGCTAGGTATTTTTTTCATGCTAGTTCGTGCAAACATCAGTCTTTTCGATGTGGGGCAGACGGTGGGTCAAGGAGGAAGGCAGGGATAAAACCATCCTGCAACATCGAGCCTGGCCCATCATCCAAACACTAAGACTACGCGCAGGCCAGCCCACACGGCTTCCGTCTAAACATTACTCAAGAGCAATCCCGCTTGGCCATCATCCAAAATCGAGTCCAGCCCTCCCAAGTCGTCCACACCGGACGACTGGATTTCCTGTTTTTGCCAGGGATTGTTGCTTTCAAAATGCCGTGCCAACAATGTGATGTTACTTACTTCAGGATGCTTATGCCCAAAGACGGAGTGAATGGCCTTACAAAGAGTCCCGTGCACAGCCATGCTGTTTTGAGTATCGTTCACATGTCAAGCCGGAAGTAGGTTGGGCTGTTTACATCATCCTTATTCCACCACATCATCTAGCGCACGCCCTCCCATTCTACGATGCGAACAACATGATTTGCTGACGTCGGCTCAGGCACCAACGGCCAACTTCAAAGAGCTGAACCCGAAGATCAACTTAGAAGCCACAGCTTTCTTTGTTAACTCAGAGGCTGTGGGCGATGGCATGTCAACATACCAGTTTGGTTTGCTTGCGTAGTCAACTCAGTCTTCTCTGGAATAGATTCTCCACAAAGTCGTGACTTTCCTGAAAAATATGAAACCTAACTTCTGAAAGGGCGCTCGGTTTTCTTGTTCACCGGGCGATTGCAATAGGTCTTGATTGATGCTGACAGGTATGTGCATGGAGACCCAAGCCATTGATGAGAGCTGGTGCGCCAGTCATTTGAGCTTTATGGGACCGAGATGCTGTTGAAATCCTGTTTCTTCACTCTGAGATCAGAGGTCCTGCCTTTTATCAAGGATATAATGATATAATAGTATATATATATACACATGTTACATATGTATATACACATTGACCTTGAAATACATGTCAGGTGTCAGCTCTTTTGGCATCGGCGGCACCAATGCTCACACCATAGTGGAAGAGGCTGGGCCCACCTAACATAGTCTTGCTTTTGATGAGTGTTGTGGGCAAGGAGTTGGAATATCAAACTCTTTGGAATGCCATCCTGCTTTTCCTGCTGGTGCTTGCGATCCGTGTTTGAGGGGCTCTTTGAGCAGTAGGAGTATGAAATTCGTCGGTATTCGCACAGCTCAATTTTTGTGTCCGTCCTCGAGATATAATCATATTTTGTATGTATATAATTAGGAGTAAGAGTATTACTTTGGGGGTGCAGAACCGGCAGAATTTGCATGAGCAGCACGGTGTGGTTCCACTGTAGTAGCACGTTTCATCCAAGTTTTTTTTTTTAACCCATCGATCAGATTTAGAAGGTGCACTTGCCTTGTCATGCCACCAAGAACTTCCGTTCGATCAGGTGCTGGCACCAGTCGTCGAGATTCACACTACGGCAAAGAAGCTTGGGGTTCCAAAAGGGGAGCAGAACATGTCCAACAAGATTCCTAGTTAACATGACTTTGGTTTTTATGAAGATGCAACATGTCAAGCTGGGTCTCAAGTTTTACATGCTGAGGTTCCACAGTCCACAAGTGGTCTTCCGGAATTGCATGACAGTTCATGAACGAGCCACTCTCGAAGCCTTGGGGCGATTCCGAAGGTTCCCCACAAGAAGCTGAAACAACACGAAAGCTGTGCACGGACATTTCTCTCCGAAAGCTAAGGCCTTTGGGATTTCATCTCTTGACCTTTTCGGTCTGCCTCCCTGGACCAGACGGGCATCGGACAGACGCAGACAGACACTTTTAGATGTACGTGTCATGTTGGTGAGAACCGTTTTCTTGTTTCTGTTATTGACAGTTGGGCAATGTCGCTCAAGCCATTCTTAAGTGTAACACCTTCGAAGAGGTTGCTAGTGGCTCCATCTCCCCTTGAATGGGAGCAAGACCTGGTGGAGAGTGGAAGAACACAAGAGCAAAGAATAAATAGCATACCCACCTCATCAAGCCCACTAGTTACTAGTTGCTGGAAGTTTTTGCATCGACTTAGGCGAAGACACCTGGATCTCTCTACAAAACAGCGGACAAGGTCATCAATGCATTGAAAAAGGCCAGCGTTGCAGCGGAATGCTCTCAGGGGCGCCGGAGTAGCTGCTTCCCGCATCAAGCCCCTGTCACAACCGGAACCTGTGCTGCAGGAAGCGGGGCCATCCATGGACAAGGTTGCCTACACACTGCAGGCTGGGACACTTTTTCAAATTTAACTTACGTAGCCTTTGTAGATGGATGGAAAGGATTGGAATGCAGACTGAAAGTTTTCTGAACCTAGCTTGCGATCTATTTCTCAAGCGTGCTGGCCCATGGTCCTTGAGGCTCAATCGTACAGCATCTTGAATATAAGAACTGTCAAACATATCTCAAATTACACATCGTACTGGAATGCACTCCTGTCGAACTCTGAAGGCAGGCCGAGCCTCTTTGCCCCTCCGAAAGAGCGTTGTGGTTGCCGGACACCGTGCAGAAACGCAAAAAGCTGCAGAGGTGCAAAGTTGCAGAGTGTTGTGGTGCCACAAAGAAATGGGAGAAATACTCACTTGTTTGAGACAAGTCGCTCGAAGAAAGGATCTTTAACATGTAAGGAAACAACTTTACCAAAATCAGGACACTTCAATGAACATCACTAGTGACTAGTGACACTAGTATTTCCAGCCATTCGACATGTTTTGGTTCTTATTGTATAGATACAAGAACCTTGAAAGTCCTCACCACCAGGGTTTGCGAGCAAGCTGGCCGGACTTGGAGGAATTGGAGGACAGCTGCAAATGAACATGCTGCTTTTGTCTTTGATGCATGGGCATTTGCATTTCTTTGCTTGGTCTCCTTTTGAGAATCTTCATGTTTTTGGAAAAAGCAGCCAATTACTCAATCATTTTGTTCTCCCGCAATGAAAGACGGAGGCTTTGTGCCAGGTCAACTGTCGGTCGGTTTGCGAATCTGGACAACTGCGTAGGAACTCGAAGATGCCAAGAAACGGCCACCAGCCAGAGACTTTGGGGTGTGTACAGGCTGAAGTGCAATATCGAAGGCGCAAGCGCGAATGAAGAGACGCAAGATTTCGCGCTCACATACACACCGGGAAAGAGCAAGTTTCTGAAAAGGTGATTGGAGGCCGCTCGAAACGTAGGTGTATATGACAGGACCTGGCCTGGGTAGACCACAACAGGTGAAATCCTAGAGACAGACTTTAAGGATGAAGACCCACGTTTCAAGTTCAATTCCGGACATCTCCAAGTACCAAGTTTCAAATCCAATCGCAAAATGGAAGTGCAAGTCTGCAGACCTTCACTTGCCTGGCAACAGACTCGTGGGGCATGCGAAGTGCTTGAACTGTCACTGAAAGACACTGAAAGGACATACGTCCAGGCTTCAGGATATCACCACAAATCAAGGAGTGTTTTCGTTGAGTGGTAACTATGACTGCACACCACTCCCCCTGCAAAACTATAGTACAACAGCAATCGCAGAAAATAGCTTGATGTGCTGCAGAGATCCCTGCCTTTCCACCTCTTAGGACTGTTTTCCGGCTTCGGGTCTCGTTTGACCTTCTCACAGTGAGACATGCCGTTTAAGAGGTCATCGACTGTAGCGAAGATCACCCAAGGTCATCGTTTGCTTTGCCGAGGTGGCCTTTGTGTTTCCTGGACAAGGAAGCCAGCACCAACCTGAGGATGAACAGTTTTGTTTGGATTTGTGTCTTGTGAATGTGGAAAGAGTAGTACACCTGGGCATCAGACAGAGTGTGTGTTTGAGGTATTTGGGCATGGCCCGTGGCCTGTATGAGCAGGTTCGGTCGCCTGTTTGCTGTGAAAAGCTTTGCCTGTACGCGCTGGACATTTTCACGAGGATAGCAGCCGATACAATACCAGTTTGCCTTGTATGAGTAGAGATCCAGTATATTAAACTGTTGCTAAGATGCCAAGATTGACTTTGTTTCCAACTTGAAGACATAGTTTGGGCATGTCGTTTGTTCTTCAATCAAGGATGGTAGGATTTGAATTGCATTAGCCCGAGAGTCTAGATGCAGTGCTGGCCAAGCACTTTTTGAGCAACTGTTCTGCATCTTGAGGTAGCTCTCTTCCAGAGGATTGCTGATCAATGCTGTGAAATGCTTGCCTCGCTGGGGATCCAAGTCGCTCAGATGCCTTCGCAAGATGGCGGTCTTCAGGTAGATCAGGTAGTCTTGAGACTTTGACGTGATTTAGTCTGATCTCTTCAAGTCTTTTACAGACATCCTTTCAATAAAGAACACTGTCTTTCAAGTTGTTTTGTTTCGTCAAGAGCAGTCTTTTCCCGGACTTTGAGAGGCCAAAACTGCTGGGCAAAGACCTGCGGCCGCTGCTGTTTGGAGATATCTACACAGAGGATGAAGCGCAACAGGACATACACAATGCATTGAGGAAACTCTACGAACGATCCGTGCTGTTGACTCTTTTTGAGTTCCAACCAAGGACGCTGCTTAATTAAAGAATCTTAAAGACCGGATGCGTTAGCTGTGCCGAAGAGTCTGTGCAGATTCCCTTTCTGCCTCGCCATTCCGAAGAGTCTGTGGACAAAAAGGGAAGCCACACCAATCAGGAGATATCATCATCTCGTGCATTTTGCACGGCGACAACTCTTTGAAGGCTTCAACATTTCAGACATTGAACCCATATTCACAAGAGTGTTGCCCATTCGTTCAGCACCTTTGTAGCAGACATCCGAGCTGTGCTTCTGCTGGTATCGCATGGCACATTCTCCAGACTTGCTCTTGAATGGGTTTGTTTCCTCACATACTGTAGTGACAAGAGCAAGCCCAAGCAACCCTGTAGCAACCTGATGCTTGGGCTCTCAGTCGCAGGAATTTGAGAAACCATCAGTCCAGCTCTCAATAACCAGCCAACTGCCGTTTCTCTTGAGCGGAATCAATGCATGGCTAAGGCTCGTCAAAGCTTGACTAACTTGACCATGTAAAGTAAAGCCTTCGAAGTCAACGCAAGAAGACTAGAATGCGAGGTGTTCACAAGGTCAGGCTTGACACACAAATCCCAGGTAATGCAACCATCTCTCTTCGTGGTGGAATATGTCTGGGGCACTCGGCGACTGCTCAAGATCTCGGCGACTGCTCAAGATCCCGGAGACCTAACAGACGTCAGTCCAAGACTTTTTGTTCGTTGGGACTCTCAAGACATTGCACCAAGATTCTTCACCCTGAACGTTACAGACCGTTCTTTGGTATTCTGATCATATACATATACAGAATATATATATGATATATGCATAATATAAATAATATGATATATAATATGTATTGAACCAGATAAGTATGTTTGAGATCTTCTGTATTCGTGTAGGTCCAGCTTCCAAACTTCGCGCGACAATTGGAGCATGATGGTTGAACGTCAGCAACCAGAGTTGCTAGCAATTTGGCTCAAAGAAGCAGGTGCAACAAAAAGTGCAGTGTTTCTGCCGATGGGTTCAAAGCGTTGCTTTAGCACCTTGGACATAACTAGCTGACTTATAGCGTCGCAAAAGCTGATCTATCTTCGTTCCGTTTTTCATTCGGTCTCTGAAGTAGGGTTTGTTCTATTTATTTATTTATTTACTTAACAATGCTGATTTGCTCAGATACTGTACCATTGCTCCACTTTGCTTTGTACTGGTAGTGTGTTCAGGGGTGTCCCTCTAGCGCTTTTGCTGCCCTCCACCACAGGAAATGGAGGAGAGGTTTACTACGGCGAGGTCCACGAGTTGGAAGATGGGAAGCTTGACTCTGACAAGCGATTTCTTGTGATTTCAGAGGTGAGATTTTTGAGATAGGATTTCTTGTTGATTGAGCTCGAAGCTTTCTTGTCCTACACTACTGTAGATGTCAAGAGCAGCTCAATTCTCTGCACACTCGTTCAAGACATTTGCTGGCAGAGCCAGAGCTTAAGGACTTGTTTGCGACATGGGTTTGGTCATCAGATATTCACTGCCCAGGCTGCAAAGACAGGAGCCTTTGTTTAATTGGAGATACAGGTTCTCGTACGGCACTCTTTCTTGGGCGTTTTGCATATAGACTGTTCATTTTCAAAACGAGAGAGAGGTTATTCTCTGAGAGAAGAGAGAGGAAACTCTGAGAGACTTTGGGCTACGTCCCTCTGAGGTAAACAAGTAATTTATGGTCGTTATGAAGGATCATGGAGAGAAGGTGGGCTCACTGGCTCTGGTACTTTCAGCTGGAGTGACGGCACAGTCTACGAAGGCTTTTTTGTGGATGGATGCCCCCATGGGCATGGCCGGATCCAATGGCCGGAGGGCACGGTATATGATGGAAATTGGAACTTTGGAGAGTTGCACGGACAAGGAACCTTTATTTGCGGATATCGACATGTGGAAAGTCATGGGATCTTCTGGCGAAACTGCCTACGCGATCACAATGGCCACTGGATCAACAAGATCAAACAGCGAGAAGAGCTTCGGCAGCAGCACTTGAAAATCAACGCATACCCTACAAACAGATTTGTCATTCCGGTGCACTTTTGCAGCACTAGCGAATTACTGGAACAAGCACTGGCAGTTTCTCAGCAGCCGCCACATTTGATTCCCTTCCTGCTGGCAACACATTCCACGACTGGGAGAGCTCCACCGCTGGATTTCGTTGAGGACACAGACCTGGGCTGCAGTGTGGAATCGACGGTTCACATCGGCTATGCTGCAGCTGAAAAGATCCGAGCACGTGATACTGACTCCCTATTTCAAAAGGCGATAGGAACAGCCTTGCGAGAAGCCAGACCCTTCACCCTCATATGGGGTGATGATGAACCGGTCTCAGGGACTGAGCCAGCAGCCATGGATCTTTGGGATCTCGAAAATTCTCGACCGATTGCTGAGAAGTCGCTGTGCTGCAACGAAGGATGGACGGTTCAAAAGACCTCAGAAAGGCTCTAACAAGGCCTTTCTGCCTTGCCTTTTTAGAGCATTGCACATTCTTTATTTTTTTTACATCACACTGCTGAATTGATCACTGCTCCAGAACTACTGTATATATCCTCACTGCGATTTCATGCCCAGGTGGTCATTGAAAAATTTCTTCTCGCCCTTGGTGCTCCCTACAGACATCTTTGATTTGCAGCACTTTCAGTGTCTCGGAAGCTGTGACTACCTTCTTTGGATGGTAGACGAACAGGGAATGTCTTTCTTTGACAAGCCTGATCTCTTTCAGAACGGCAGGATAGGTTGTTTGCGTCTCAGTACTTGCACGTACATTGGCAACGTTGAAATTATGTAAGGAGAGCTGTCGTGGACACCGGCCAGCCATGTAAAAAGTAGAAAGCAGACAACACATAAGCCCAATACCTCTCAGGATTACATGTATATATATATATAGACAATATATTTATATATAGTCATAGTACTTCTGGTATCTCTGATTTTCTAAGTCTTTGTCTGTGGCTTTTGACAGTTTTGGTGTCTAGTCAGGTCTCGTCAAGAATTGCGAGCAGACGGTTTGTCCTAAAATCAGATACAAGCATAACAGTCTGCTCGATTTCATCACGTTTGAGAAGCAGTGCCACCACGAGGTGCACTGGCTTGGCTAAGTCCTTTCTGCAAAACACAGAAGATCAGCTCCTTGGAGAGCTTCAGCTCCTCGGCTGGCATTGCTTTGCTTTCAACGATATCTGCTCTAGTTACTAGTAGCTTCTAGCTACTACTAGTAATGCCCTTGTTAGTAGTCGCTAGGAGTGGGCTTGATATCTTTTTGAGCTCTTCTTCTTACGGCCAGGGGCATTATTTTATTTCTTTCGCTCAAGCAGATGGCCATCCGAAATCTAATCTGCTTAATGAAAAGACAATTGTTGGGGAAGCTCCTTTCAATCAAGGAAAGATTCACAAGAAGAAGTAGACCCAGCACATCCAGCGATCCAACCACCACCACTTCTCCACCCTTTGCGCGTGCTGCTCATGTCCCTCAAGCGAATACCTGACGTTTGTGAAGAAGAGTCAGTGAGGAAGCACGTGATTGCCAGATTTTCGTCCGCCCTTCCCGTTCACCGCATAGCTGTTTTTGTTGCATGCTGAAGCGAAACTAAGACATCCAGACTTGCAGCTTTCCAGACATTGACATCAATGACATTCAATGCAGCTATTGGAGCAAGAAGCTACTAGTAACAAAGGGCATCGCTACTAGCTGCAAGAAGCTACTAGTAGCTCCTGGCCTTGCTACTAGTAACAAGAAGCTACTAGGAACAGACCGTGCTTTGCTCCACAGCTTCCCAGACCCTCATGCGTGGGGATTTGGCACCAGACCCTCCTCGCGGTCGCAGCAAATTGAACCGTTTCACAGCCAAGCTTCCGAATAGCGGTGAGCAAGAGCCAAAAGGACCCGCAAGGGCCTGCACGAGCTGCCAGTTTGCATACACCCGAAATCACTTGTTGGTGACGACAACATCCAAGGCTAATATAAGTTGTTTACACCTTCACTGACTGCACTGTCTTCGACTTACACTCTAGTCACATGATACTCGGATGCAGGTTGGAGGCCTGTTTGACCCACTGAATTTGGTTGCTTGTGAAACAATAAGTTTCATGCCGCATGCTCAACCCATTGCATCCACAGGCGCTGGCACAGATCTTGCTTGCAGTCGACGCAGTGGACCCAGAAAAATGGAGGATGTTGCCAAAAAGAATGCTTTTTCTTGAGTTCTTGATCCTAGCAAGAAGGGGAGTGACCCGAAGATCTATACAAGGCGAGCATAGTAGAGGACGACCAAAGCCTGCCATGACCAGTGCAGCACCGGGTTGTACTTCCTGGCTTCATCGTTATTTTTTTGATGGCGACCTTTGATCTATTCGATCCAGCAAACATAAAAGTCTATACTACCATGTTTTGGCCATAGCTCAAGTTGTTTGGCCAGAAGAGCCCAGCTGTCTAGAACATGGTCTGCAGTACTTCTGATCCAGACATGGGTGAAGCGAAATAGGACATTTCAAGTGACATCAGGTGACCACAATCGAGGTGTTGAGCAGGAAGTCATTTGTATTGGACCCACACGTCATGGTCGATCGTCACGTCATGGGTCGATTTTCTCTGACTGGCGAGCTGCATAGTGTAGCTAGCTTCGCCTAGCACTGCGCATAGCTAGCTGCTTTCAGCAGAACATGATCTTGCTTTACGGGTTGCCGCGTAAGGCCTAGCGCCTAAGGGTATATAGGGTTTAGCAGTGAACACCTGCTACACGAGCCACCGGGCCGACGTACATGCCGCACTGAAACCCTGCAAGAACACAAGATATGTTTTATCCATCGCGTATGTTTGTATGTACAGCCCATATATACTCCGCTATAGGTACTGCAGACACGTGACTCATGACGTGTTTTGGCTCAAGGGAAAAAGACGTTCCGTAACGTCGAAACCTCGTTTTCATGGTAGCGCGTGAGCCCGGTGAGAGCGAAAGGGACAAAGCGCTGCGCATCAAGGAAGAGAGACATAGTAAGGTAGAGACCTCAGAGGAGGAGGATCAAGAGATCCCGGGAGCGGCCGCTTCGGCCGCCCCGAGCGGAAAAGAAGAGAAGGAGGAGGAGCCTTTGCCAGCCACATCAGCGGCGGAACCATCCGCAAACACCACTCCGGCGGTTGTAGAAACTGCCGAGACAACATCAGCGGTTGAAGGAACCGCGGAAACAAAAGAAGAGGAAACAAAAGAAGAGACCACAAAAGAGAAAGAAGGAGGAGAAGAAGAAAAGCCTGAGCAAGACCCCATAGTAGAGCCAGAGGCTGAAGCGGCTGATCCAGCCGCACAGCCATCCTCATCTGGCCGAGTGATCGCCGATTTCCAAACCTCCCCAGAAGGTGTCAAAACAGGTTGGGAGGTCCGCGGCACTCACGCCAAATATACCCCAGCCAAAGTTGATCCCAAAGCACCTTGGAGGGTAAAGAAGAACATTTGGGGACAGGTCAAGAAGCATCCAGAGCCACAATCCGGATTTCGACTTCGAAGCAAGACTTCGCTTCAGTACCGGAGGCTCAAGGACCTGGTCAGGCTGGAGAAGAAGAAGGGTGTCATCACAGAGGATCTGAGGAGGCGCATCAAAGAGTTCGGAAAGGGGCGCACTCCACAAGAGATCAAAGAAGAGCGGGAAGAGCAAAAGGTCCGCAATCAAGAGAAGCGGACCAAGAAAAGGAAGGCCTCAGAAGCGGCTGATCCAGCCGAGGAGGAGGAGGTCGAAGAAGAAGAAGAGTCGGTGAGCCATCCAAGTCCAGTTCGACAGCCTCGAACACCGGACGGGCCACCGCCGGCTAAGCGACCGCAAACCCGCGACACCCAGCGGGGACGGGCGGTCTGGGGGCGTGCACTGGAGTTGAACCTCCGCATCGTCGCCCTAGCCAACGAACGGGCCCAGCGATTGACGATAGAAAATTGGAAATTAGAGAGCCCGTTCCAAGTGCGAAAGTTTGCGGCCGACGAACTTTGCGAGCAACGGAATCTCAAGGGCACCGTCGCATTGGCCGCCATTCGCGAATTGTGGAAGACCCCCAACGAACAAGGAAAAAGAGGATCCAACGAGGCCTGTAGTTCTTGTGACGAACGGCGGCAGGCACAGCTGCCGGTGGTGAAGGACTACATCAAGCGGCGAGGACTTAAGGGACCTGCCGTTCTTGGATCGAGCGCCAAGTCCAAAGCGGCGCCAGCTGTGAGCCTGACACCTGGGCCGAAAGTGAAGGCCAAATCAAAGGCCGGACCAAAAGGAAAGGCCAAACCATCCGCCGCGCCAAAAGTAGCGGCTGAAGCGAAGGCCACAACTGTGGGTCGTCGCCCGGAAGAACTCACACGGACTACTGTTGAAGTCCGTGGAGTGCCAAAACCTTCCGATCCTTGACCGGGCGAACCGCCCGCGACTGCCGCTGGAAAAGGAGTGAGCGGCAGCAGCAGCAGGGGTTGAGGGCAGGAAACCATGGAACAACAGATCCAACAATTGAGTGAAATGGTACTTCAACTCCAACAGAACCAAGCGAGGTTGGAGCAGGAGAATCAAGTGTTGAGGGAGTCTCAAGGTGGGGTATCAATGCTAGCCTCAGCTGTAGGAGAATTGGCTAAAAGCCTTGAGAGGAAAGATGATAGGAAGAAGTCCCAAATCCTCATGGACACCAAAGGGTTAGGATGCCCCGAGAGTTTTGGGAATGTTGAAGGGGATTTTCGAAAATGGGCCAGGAGCATTGATAACCTGTTCATAACTACTTTTGGGAGAGAGTTCATTGAAGTCCTAGAGTATATTTTGGAGCAGGAAGACGCGATCGAATTGAGTGCTATGGAGTCCGCATTTGGGGCTGGAACCATAGCAGCCATCGATGATTTGGAGGATAAAGCTGATCAAATTCATCGCGCGCTCCTGACCCTGACCTCGGGTGAAACAGAGGATTTGATGGTAGGAGCTTCAAATGGGTTTGAAGCATATCGGCGAGTTCACCGCCGTTGGGATCCCCGAACCTCGGGACGGAAACGCAATATCCTTCGAGCGATTCTCCAACCGGAGAGAGTCAAGACATGGGCCGCGGTGAGGCCAGCGATCGAACAGCTCGAAGAGCTCATCAGGCGGTACGAGTCTCGGAGGAGTGCCGCAGGGACTAGGGAAACCCTATCGGACGACATCAAGTCCGCTTCGTTGGAGATGCTGGTACCCCCAGATTTGGAGAAACATCTTTTGTTGAACAAGAGTAGATTGACAACCTATTCGTTGATCAAGCAAGAGATTGAACTTGTCATTGAAACATCCCTCACATCAAAGTCATCTGTTCCAAAACCAGGTTCATCAAGTTCAAGTTACCAAGGACCTCAACCCATGGACGTCGATTCGATCGGACAATGGATCGCAAGCCTGGTCAAAGGAAAAGGTAAAGGAAAAGGTAAACAGGCCAAAGGTGATGGAAAGAAAGGCTCAAGCAAAGGGGGTTCAAGTAAAGGCTCAAACCCGGCTCAAGATATTACCTGCTACAATTGCGGTAAGAAAGGACACCGAGCGGCCGATTGCTGGAGCAAGAAACGGCCGGATGGAAAAGGCGATAAGTGGTCAGGTTCAGGCAAAGGAGACAAGAGTGGTAAAGGTGGCAAAGGCAACAAAGGCAAAGGTGGAAAGGGTGGCAAAGGTAAAGCCGCAGGAAGTATGGAAGAGATGGACGAACCGGATGATGGCATTGAGCCAGCTCCGGAAGCCGATGTCGGCATGCTCATGGCAGACTTGAGTGGAATTGGAATGGCGGACACCTCATCCGCCGAAGAATGGATGAAGTTTAACCTGGACACTGGAGCAGCCCAGACAGCCATCCCGAATGGCTGGGAGGACCGAGTGGTTGTCAGTGAAGGCAACGGAGTTGTATTCAAGACTGCATCCGGAGAGTTGGTGCCCAGTCAGGGCATTGGAACCTTTGAAGGGTTCGACGAGAGCGGCAACAGATGCCGTGTGAAAGGGTCAATGGCCGATGTTCACAAGCCATTGATTTCAGCATCCAAGTGCTTAGGCTTTGGAAGGATTGCAGTCCTTGATGCAAATGGCGGAAACTTGATACCGCAAGGGTCCAAAGTTGGAAAGGCTGTCCAGGCGGTCCTGGAGAAAGCGAACGTGCAGAGCAGCGGAGTTGGATCCCTGTGTATCAGGAGCAGGGAGTGTACAACTTCTACTTGAGAAAGCCAGGGTATAAACCGACAAAGGAATGCTGTGGCATTGCAGAGTTGAACGCCACAGGAGAAGGAGGAGATGCCTCTATGGATTCAGGCCGACCTGGTCCAGAGGGGCGAGAAGAGGATGATGAGTTGGAGTTAGTTGATGAGGTTGAGAAACCCGTCCAGATAAGAGCGCCGGAGGATCCAACCCCGGCTGAGATCGAAGAGCGCGAGGCGACAGGCCATGTGCAGTATCGAAGTTGGTGCCGGCATTGCATTGCTGGACGGGCTGTGGGGCAGCCACATCGGACGAGGTCCGAGGAAGAGAAGGCTAAGAGCCTTGTGCCCACAGTGGCAATGGACTACACGTTCATGTCACGGGGCGGTGTGGAGGACGAGCGAGTGAAGCCAATCCTCGTAATAAAGGATGAGAGGACACAGTCCTTAGCGGCGACCTTCGTGGACTCGAAGGGAGCGACGCCGTATGCAGTGAAGTTCGCCGCGAACTTCCTGAAGAACTTGGGACACCGCAAGGTGGTCCTCAAGTCAGATGGTGAGCCATCAGTGGTAGCCTTGAAAGAGGCAGCGGCGAAAGAAACCGGCATAGACTGGGTTTCGGAAGAGTCGCCAGTAGGAGACCATCAAGCAAATGGTCTGGCAGAGAACGCCTGCAAGGAGGTCAAACGTCAAGTACGAGTCCTCCGCAGCGCATTGGAAGAGAAGCTCGGCAAAGAGCTCAAAGATGATGATCCTGCATTGGCATGGCTGCCAAGACAGGCAGGAGACCTGTTGAGCAGGTACAAGAAAGGTCAAGATGGCAGAACGCCTGAGGCCAGAAGATGTGGAAAGCAATGGCGGAAACCTGCCATAGCTTTTGGCGAACGCCTATACTTTAGAGAAGTGGGCGAGGGAGTTCGCATCCTGAAAGAAGGACGCTATGTAGGACACCATGGCCGAACAGGATCCATTTTGGTGATGACGGCCGATGGCGTGCGAAGAGGCACAGGAATCCGGCGGCTGAGTTCAGCCGACCGCTGGGACCCAAGTGATTGGGACCTTTTGCGGGGCTTACCGTGGGAACATTCCGCGGCAAGGCCTGCCGGCGAGCAGCTGATGCTCGAAGAGCGCCTTGTGGTACCACCTCCCAAGGAGGAACGAGTGGCACCACCGCAGCAGAGGCGAGTGTACATCAGGAGAGAGGATGTGCACAAGCATGGAGCCACAGAAGGCTGCCCAGGATGCAAGTGCATCTTGGAAGATAGGAGGACGACCTTGCCGCACACAGAGGCGTGCAGCGCAAGGATCACCGAAGCAATGGAAAAGGATGAAGTTGGGCAAGCGAGACTTGAAGCCCATGCAAAGAAGAGGAAAGAACGGCAACAACTTGACACTGTGAAGCCGAAAGTCGTGGCCGACAAGGACTCCGACATCCCAGCCGAAGACGCGGCTGGGGAACCAGAGAAGAAGGAAGAAGCAAAGAGCGCAGGGTCGGGAAGCTCACCGCCAGCAGCAGCAGAGGGTGAGAAAACCTATCCCGATGACCCGAAAGAGAGATATGAGATGAAGAGGCAAGCAGCCGAGATAGAGAAGAAGCCAGTGGCAAAAGCCAAGGTAGCAACAGAGCCCAAGAAGAGGATAGGAGAACTTCGGATAGATCCACCTGGGGCAAAGGTCAAGCCGAATCCAGTTCAAGGAACAAAGAGGTCCGCAGAGACCGCCGTAGAAGACCTTGATCCCAGAGTGGAAGAGAGTCCAAAGAAAACGTCTCAGTTTTCACATGTTCCAGAAACACCACCAGCAGGGTGGAGGCCAGATGCAGCCAGCTTAGTAAAAGAGAAGGAGATCGCAAAGCAGCATCTGAAGAAGATCATTCAAGGGACCTATGAGGCGAGCGGCATTGAGATCTCTGAGCAAGAGATCGGAGACATCGCTCACTTGAGCATGCAGATGTCAGCAGTAGATATCATGGAGATCTACTCGCCCAAGAGGTTCACTGCGCTTGCAGAGCGCTACAAGTTGCGACCGGGTTTTGCGGTCGACTTGAATGAAATGAAAAGTGATGGAACATACTGGGACTTGAACAAGCCTGAAGATGTTCAAGAGGTGCACGACATCCTTGAGAAGGACGAACCGGCACTTTTGACTGGTTCGCCACCGTGCCATATGTTCTCCCAGCTCCAGAACCTTAACTGGAGAAGCATGGCACCGGATGTCCGGAGGAGAAAGATGGACGAAGCCGTCCACCATCTCCATACGAGCGTAGAGCTGTAAGTCAAGCAGCATCGCTCAGGGAGAAAATTCCTCCACGAGGCACCTTGGTCCGCGACTAGTTGGAAGGACGAGAAAGTTGCGGCCTTAGCAGAGGAAGATGGAGTGTTCATAGTGAAGGGTCCAATGTGCAGGTGGCAAATGATGGCCACCGACCGAAGAGGACTCCAAGGCACCGGCTATGTGAGAAAGGAGACCGGTTGGATGACCAACGATGAAGGGTTGGCCAGAGTCTTGCAAGGAGTCTGCTCGAATGAATCGGGCAAAGGACCATGGCACCGACACATCCATCTGATCGGAGGCATTGCAAGGCAAGCAGCGGTATACCCACCGCCGCTCGTTAAGGCAGTGCTGAGGAGCCTGCGTGACACACTAGCTGAGAAAGGTGAGTTGAACACCTTTGATTTGTTTGCAGCAGGCCCAGTTCCAGAGATGCCTCTGATGGAACCTGAGTTCGAAGAAGTTTATATGGATGATGTGAACGGCGGCATTTTGCCAGCCGAGAAAGTGAGAGAGGCAAGACGCCTTGAAATGAATTATTTGAAAGAAAAGCATGGTGTTTATGTGACCCGGCCGAGAGCCGAATGTTTTGAGGAAACGGGGAAACCCCCGATTCCAGTCAGATGGTTGGACACCAACAAGGGAGATCCAACAAACCCGAACTATAGGAGCCGATTAGTTGTGCGTGAGATAAAGGCAAGAAAGACCAAAGAAGAACAATTGCCAGCCAACTTGCTTTTCAGCAGCACGCCCCCATTGGAGGCGATGAGACTGCTATGCTCGTTGTGGGCAACAAAGAGAAAGTCCTGCCACAACCAGCCGTTGAAGCTGGGCTTGTGGGACATCTCACGAGCACACTTTTATGGAACTCCAAAGAGAAAGATCTACATAGAGCTGCCACCTGAGGACGAAGCCAGCAAAGATGGACAAACCTGTGGACTTCTCGTGAAGTCGATGTATGGAACGCAGGATGCTCCAAATATCTGGCAGACGCACTACACAGAGACTCTGCAGAAAGCTGGTTTCCGCAGAGGCTTGTCAAATGCGTCAGTCTTCTACCAAGAAGCTTGGGACGTCAGAGTGATGGTGCATGGAGATGACTTCCTAGCACTTGGAGACGCCCAACATTTGGAGAAGCTCAGCCAAGTCCTCAAAGATGCCTATGAGCTGAAATGTCTCGGAATTCTTGGAGACGAGGATGGAGACCGAACAGAAGCTCATTTTCTTAATCGGTTAATCCGAGTCGAGAAGAAGAACGGCAAAGGATCAATTGTGATCGAAGCCGATCGGAGACATGTTGATCTTTTGATCCAGACATTTGGTCTGGAGAAGGCAAATGGTGTAGAATCACCAGATGTCAAGAAGTCGGCAGATCAGCAGATGCTGGAAAGCCGCAGTCCGCTGCTTGATAAGAGCGAGGCATCGAAGTATCGTTCAGCAACGATGCGTGCTGCGTACTTGTCCCAAGATCGACTTGATATTGGGCACGCAGTCAAGAACCTTGCTCGAGGTATGGTATCACCAACGGAAGCCAAACTTGCTGACTTGAAGCGTCTCATCAGGTACTTGAAGAAATACCCTGATGTTGGGCAATGTTTTGGTTCGCAGCAGATACCCTCAAGGCTGAGGGTGCAGGTCGATGCCGACCATGGTGGTGACGCTGTGACGCGCAAAAGCACGACTGGCATGGTTGCTATGTACGGCATGCACGTGTTGAAACACAGTAGTAACATCCAATCCACTGTAGCCCTTTCTACAGGTGAGAGTGAATACTACGCACTTGTGAAAGGAGGATCTGTGGGCTTAGGCCTCCAAAGCCTATGCGCAGACCTTGGTTTGGATTTGGGAGTCACCATCGAGGGCGATTCCAATGCAGCCAAAGGAACTGTGAATAGAGTGGGTTTGGGTAAAGCCAGACACATCCAAACTCGCTACCTATGGTTGCAAGAAAGGGTCGCCGAAGGCCACTTGAAAGTGCACCACGTTCCAGGTCTCAAGAACAAAGCCGATGTTTTGACCAAATCGGTTCCTGGGGTGCAGCTTCGCAAAACCATGGAGGACCTGCAGTATGCATTCCTCAGCAAGCGAAGCAAAGGACAGTTAGATGTTTTGGAGTAAGGTCCCTGGCCAAGCTCCACTACCACAACTGAAAGTAGCTAAGCAGCGAGAGTTTCACATGTTTACTTTTTATGCTTGCGCAGCAGTACAGTGCTTTGCAAGAGGAGGAGTGTTTGTATGTACAGCCCATATATACTCCGCTATAGGTACTGCAGACACGTGACTCATGACGTGTTTTGGCTCAAGGGAAAAAGACGTTCCGTAACGTCGAAACCTCGTTTTCAGCGTATCAAATAGGCTCAGTCAGTGTGGTGGTAGGGCAGTTGCCAGAGCACCTCGTGGACATAGCTCGCTATTTGGCTGTGCAGGTGAAGCCCACGGCGTGTGCGGGACATTCACTCGGAGAGTGACCCCACTGCAGTAGAAACAACAGTTGGGAGTCGTCAGCGTCTCTCTTTCTCTCAGACATGATGTGCATATAATATACACAATTGTATACACTGTAAGTAAATACAAATAAATCAACATATATATATACACATACATATTCTATATACTGTTATACTGTATATATGTTATATGTACTGTACACAAAAACTACTGCAAAGGCTTCTGCGGCTCATTTGAGCAATGGACCGATCGAATGTCTCGATCGATCGATCGAACGAAGCAACACCGATCGAGCTCGATCGTCGCTTCAGGTACGCCGCGGCCGTTGTTGGAGGATTCCTGACCCTTGAGGGGGCCTTGCAAATCGTAGCTACTCGCGCTAAGTGCGGCTACACAGTGAGCCTTGCTTTTCGTCATTTTTGCGCTTGGTTTTTTGGCCAATGTTGAACTTGAAAAGATTCTGTAATCTCCAATCTTTAGGGAAATGCTGCAGGTTGAGGTACTCTGCACTGCGAAGCTTTCATGCGTGTCCCTGTCAAACATGGCCGGGTAGTGTAGAATATTGTAGAATTATGAGGACTTTTGCCTTGCCCAGGTCCACAGAAACCTTGGCAGATGAAGGGGCAATGCTGTCGGTAGCAGATTGGCAACTTGCATGCCATTATGCTGCCGCATTTCATGCAAGAGGTGATGGTCGTAGGGCAGAACACATAAACAGGCGCTTTTGGGAGATGTCTTTGTGCAACACATGAAGCAACATCACTGTGCTTTACGGCGGTTTGTGGCCAAAACATCACCAAAACTATTGAATGTTGTTCAGACCAGGCCTACAAGATTTAGAGAGAACACCTATCCAAAGACACAACATTAACATACCAAAAAACTGCAGGAAAGAACAACATGCAAAAACACAAATACACATACAAACCAAAACAAAAAAATAAACAATGTTTGAGATAAAAAGAGGACAGCACCAAAAGAACAAAATCATCCAAATCCAAATCCTATAGTAGCTTCTTTTGGGGTGAAACAGTTTTTGCATTTCCCACCTGTCAGATGAGGGTTGTTAGATTTTATATTTTAAATGTGAGCTACTCCGCGTCCACTCCGCGCTCTCCTCCGCGTCCTCCTCCGCGTCCTCCTCGCCTCCTCTACCGCCAGCTCCCGACGGCAGTGTTACCTCCAGCCCCGAACGGCAGTGTTACCCGCCAGACCTCAACTGCCAGCCCCCAACGGCAGTGTTACCCGCCGGGCCTCAACTGCCAGCCCTCGACGGCAGTGCTACCCGCTGGACCTCAACTGCCAGCCACACGGCAGTGTTCCCCGCCGCACCTCAACCACCAGCCCCCGACGGCAGTGTTACCCGCCGGACCTCAACCGTGAGTCAGAAGAGAACGCCAGAAAGAATGTCAGAAAGAAAGTCAGAAGATATGCCAGAAAGAATGTCAGAAGATTTACCAGACAGAATGTCAGAAAGAAAGTCAGAAGATATGCAGAGGATATGCCAGATAGAATGTCGGAAATAAAGTCAGAAGATATGCCAGAAAGAATGTCAGAAGATATGCCAGAAAGATTGTCAAAACAATGTTTCATCAATACATGCCGAGCAATTTGTCAGATTGAAATGTCACTCGAAGTGAAGTAACTCGTTGTTGTTGCTATTTTGGTAGTTCCATCATTGGGTCTACATTTCGCACATCAGACATTCTTGGTAATCATAAATGCTCTTTTCCTGACACGGTTTCATACTTAACGGTTCTACTCGACGGCTTCTTGCCGAGTACTAGAGCCTACGAAGAACGGAACTAGTGTGTGCTCTGCCAGGCACACCCGCTCTGTTTATTAATCTTTTGATATTGCTTCTTGCTGCTGCAAAGACATGTGCTACGTGTTAGTGTTTCTTGCATCAATGTTGTTTGTGAAAGTTGTAGTCCAGTATGTCTTGGGGCAGTGCGTGATGATTTGTCGTTGATTGCATGGGCGTATTTGTGGGTGCACCATGGATGGAAGGACCGTATACACACAGCGTATATTTAGTTTTTTATGTTCCTGCATGGGAGTACTTGTGGATGTGTTGTTACGAATGAAGAGCTGCATTAAACGTTTTCTCGGAAGACGTTCATTTCAACTTCAAGGACTTCTGAACAGCTGGAAGAGGTCGCAAACCAGCAGCGGCCGGGACTTTGGCTTGCAGCAGCAACTTGGCTTGTTCTAAACGAGTGAATGCCACTCGTTTGAGGTCGCGACTCTGATAATAGGACTCCGTTAGACAATTCAACTCACAGACCACACTGATTTGAGTTATTAACAGTTACTAACATTCATCAATTCACATTCAAGTGTGCTATTGACAATGCCCATGTCTATCTTGCCGTCTGTCTGTCTATCCATCCATCCTCGGAAGGTTGCCCAAGAAGCGGACAAGGCTGCCAGGTTTGGCAACGAATGTGTCCACTAGGAATGCTCCTCACAAACCACACTGAACATATTGTGCAGTCGCAGGAGCCCCTAGTAGCGTCCTTGTTCCTGGAAGCGATGCCCTTTGCTCCTAGTAGCTTCTTGCTCCTAGTAGTAAGGCCAGGAGCCCCTAGCAGCGTCCTTGCTCCTATGCCATTGTTAGATGTTAACAGTACATGTTGGAGGTTTGTACGCGTTTCTTTTGTGCATCATGCTCGCGATTTGCCTCTTGTTTTATCGGATTGTTTCTGGTCACATAGTGCACGCGACTCAGGTGAACTCTCCGCAACATTCGGTCATCTCGGGAGAGGTGGGAGTCTGTTAGGACAGCAAATGCAGATGCAGAATGTGGGAGCCAAGCACAAACGACGCCCAAGCAGTTACTATGGCAGTTTGACCAACTGGGATCGACACAACACGTCAAAACACGTCAATGTTGCATTAAAGCTTGAGTTTGGATCAAATACTGGTATCCTTGTTCCACAAGTTTGTCCAAGTTGAGCAAACTCCAACGACGGTGCCAGGAGATCAACCCAGGTATGTTGGATTACAGTATATTCGTTTGAACATAGAAGTCTTGGCCAGGTCGGTGCCATTGAGGCTCTTGAGAAGGAGTTGAAAGCAGCAGGGTATCTCTGGCAAGTTGTGACTTTTCATGCACGGATGCCAGCCAGGTTGAGGGAACAGGTCTTGATGGACAGACCACATAATCAAGCTCTTGGCATCAACCTGTGCTTGCCGCCCTCGTCCCCTCCCACACCTCATTTCAAGGTTACGTGGCAGTCAGCGCTTGTGATGGCCTTGGTTTGATAAACAAATCGTCCACTAAAGCAAGTCCCCAGGGGAAAACAATTCATCCGCCAATGGTAGAACTTCCTCAGCATTCAGTTGATCCGGGATTGTTTGTTTCAATGCGACTCTCTTGGCGCCTTTTTGGCCGTTTTTTGATCAAGCTGATTTTTGTGCGGGATCAATGCCATTGAGAACTCCTGATGAAGATACACCTTTCTTCAGTATCAGGTGAAGCAGCCATTGTGGAGGTTGAGCATGGAAGGACATTCTAGAAGCGAAAATGCTGTCTGTGCAACAAATACATGTCTCAGTGTATGATCAGTAGTTGAACCTTGCTCCCGGAATGCCTCCTGCAAGTAAACAATGATCAACTCGGATTTCATGGCCTCAATATTGGTTTTCAATGTAGATCCATAGGATGCTATCAAGCGGTTAAGCATTGAAGCTGGAAGGATCTCTGAGCTGACCGAAAAGGTCTTTGAGCACTTTCTGAGCTCAGAGACTGATGGCTTGGCTCACTTTGTCTTGCGCTTCTTGCGTGCTGGCTCAGTGCTAGATGACACGGAGCAACTGGACGATGGGGATGAGGTGACCTTCTTGCGACAGGCCCAGGGGGGCGAGCCTCCAAGTGGGCTTGCAGTGCGCCTTAAAGGATCTTGAAGGTGTAAGTCATGGGATGCCTTATAGTAGCGATGGCCTCCAACCTAATAAATTAATAGCGATGGCCTCCAACCTATCAGGAAGTGATAAAGATGCCACAAAGGGCAGACTTTCATCAGTTGGTACCCCACATGAGCAAGAGTTGCCCCATGCGAGGAGTTGCCCCACGTGCGTTTCATTGAGGGTCAGGAGCACTGGACTGAAGAAATTGCTCCACAGCTGGAAGAGCAAGAGGTTGCTGCCCTTATTACCACGCGTGCGTGTGGTCCAGCAGATCGAGTCACACGACAATGTGTGAAGTGTGCTCATGACTACAAGATCCATTTCTGTCGATCTCCCGATGTATCAACGGCGCTCTGGCATTTGCTTCAAGAGCTGTGCTTTTCCTTGGTTAAGAATTACTAAGATGGAGCGACCTGTGATGTCCTGTGACCAACCAGTCTTCCAAGGCAGAGCGTACGGTTGAAGTACAAAAGGAGTACATCGCCATCATTCACCGAAAGACTGGGGGCGAGTCTCCAGAGCCTGGCGTTCAGATTGACTCAGGAGTATCCTTTGAGATGCAAGAAGGAAAAGCTTCTGAACAGAAGTCTATGCTATTTCTGTTTTCACTCAAGATCTTCAGCACGGGGTGCTGTTCCACGATTTGCCAATCAACTTGTTGAGCTTCCTTGAGTCAGCCAGCGATTTCTTGAGGTTCTTTGCAGACTACTGTTTGAAGGAGGATTTCCAAATGGCGGTGAATGCTGGGCTGATATTCACGCTCCATGGGGTACCTGCTTCACATCTATTCCACCACGCGGTTGTGCCTGGCTCAGCCTTTGTGTCTGTCTAGCATCGTCTCCATAGAACAAACAAGCAGCACAATTCAAGCTACCGGGTGGATTTCTGGTCTTGCAGACTCACTGAGGCTTGATACTGGAAATCCCATGGGCATGACTTGGAGCTCATTTCGGAAAGTCTGGGTGGATAAGCCTCACAATGGAACGCAACACAGGTTCTCGTGCTTTTGCAGCTTCTCACCGAAGAAGTGCCCAAGAAGGTTACTGCCTACTGCCTCTTGGACCTGGCAAGTCATCGACTTTGACTTCATGCGGAACAGCATGATCTTCTAAAAACCCATATTTGACAGAGAATGGGCTTCTGCAAGACCACGCTTGCTTTGTGAGGAAAAGTCCGAGTCCTGAGGGTATATAGTATAAGCTGAGAAAGGCGGAACAGCAAGATCAGCAAGGTGTGCGTTCTTATACCAATGCTTTGCCAGGAAGAAATGCTCTCGATTGCACGTTAAGCGTGCCTTCCACTCTGGACTCATTGCGAAGGCGTTGATTGCACATATATATATATATTATATGTATACTTTTATTATATGTATACTTTTTCTTCTTCTTATTATTTTTTTAAAATATATGTGTGAAGAAAAAGAAGAAGCGCTCTCTTCTACCTACACCTACTGATTGTATCTGACAATCAGCCCCGAGCGTGGAACCACGGGAAGCCAGCACCCCGAGCCTGGGAGGCTGCGCACACGTTGCACAAGCTAGGGGTGACCGAGGAATTGTCCGGGGCTCAGCCAGCTGGTTGGGAGTGGGTTGGAGGTGCCAAGGTAGGTAGCTAGGAGTGAGAAGATGTTGAATCGCTGAAGCTAGTAGCGACTTGCATGGTCGAAATGGTTGAATTCTTTCCATGGATATGGAGGGAGATTAACACGCAAGTGGCACGCAAGGCTTGCCGGGATATGCTTATATATATATATCTTTGTACATATACACTGTATGAGTATGATACTGCTTTGTCCACCCTGATTCTTTGCCAGGCAAGGGATCGAGTTCACTCCAGTGGCAGCAAGCTCGGACAATCTCTCTTCCAGGTGATTTTGGTTTCATGTGTGCGCTTGTGTGTTTATTTTTGTAACTACTAGTATGTATGTGAGAAGAAGCATTCTTGCTTGCTTCATGTTTAATCATGATTGATCTCTATGCTGCACATTGCTTGCTGCGTGGACTCTACTAATATATATATGTATATCCGAGTGATTTATTGATAGTGTTTTGGTCACTGACAAGAGCAGGGTCAACAAGCCGCAATTTTAGAATCTTCCATGAACCCTTTGGTTATGATCTTTCGATGTGGTGCACTTTTCAATTTCAGGCTTCTAACCTCACGGGACAGTGGCTTCTCCCTGCTCAGATGAAGGCCACCGTGGGAGAAAGTGTTCTTGTGCTTTGTTGACATCCAAGAGCATGACACAGTTTTTTCAGTTTGGAGAATGGACTACAGTAGGGGTGGCCACACAGGTTTTACAGTGAATTCTTTTGTGCAGCCTGTGGAGCATGATGCTGGTCTTGCTTCATGCAGTAGGTCTTCTCCCCACTCCACATTTGATGCGCCCTCCCAATTCTAGTATATATGCCAATGGTGCAATGTTGGATAGCTATGTGCGAAGCATGCAGAAAGACCTTTGGGCAAGAGGCACACTGTATCATTTTCTCCACAACCAGGAGGGACAATGGAACAGTATGTTGGGAGCTCTCCTCTTGGGTTTAGGAGGCTTTGTATCTGAAATGGACTTCAGGTCGGTCCTTATTGCTTCACTGTGCTGATTTTGCAGGATGGACAATACTGGACGAAGCACATGAGGGGTACAGCAGCAAGCTCATTTTGTTTTGTCCAAATGGACGCAGACCAACCCATGACTTGTCTCTTGCAGCAACAGCGCATTGTCAAAAGGTTTTCAGGCTGTTCAGTGCAACCACACTGCGGCTGTGTCAAAACATGTAGGATACCTCAATTTTGGTACGTCAGAAGTGTGCTTGTATCAGTGCAAGCACTTTTTTCCATTGAGGAAAAGCATGGCCACAGCAATTCAACTAACCAGAACCAATGGTAACCAGTCTACGGCTTGGTTGCCTCAGGTGCTTTGGAGGGAGAACGCGGAAAGGCTGATCTCTCAGTGGAGGCCAAGCATCATCCTTGAGGCCAAGTTGGGGCATAGACACGACATCATTCGGTCGGTCGCCTCACTGAATCTGAATTCTACGGCTATATATATATATCACTTGTACTTTCAATTAGTGCCCGTTTGCAGCATTTTAGCCATCCCCCTATATATAAATTCCTCCCTCCGCAGCAGGGGCAGTTGTTATTGCATTGCCGACTCTGCCCTGGAAGTAGAAGTTTGAAGCAAAAATTGAAGACATGTCATCTTCATCGTTGCTGCGAATATGAAGAGTAGGAGCTGGAGTAGGAGTAGGACAACGAAGTAGCAGTGGTAATTAAAGGAGTGGTGGTAATGGTAATGGTAGCGGAGGTACTAGTGGTAGTGGTAGTGGTAGCACCAGCAGGAGGAGGAGTAGTAGTAGTAGTAGTAGCAGCAGTAGCAGCAGCAAGGAGTGGGAGTAGGACCTAGGAGTGGGAGTGGGAGTGGGAGTGGGAGTGGTAGTGGTAGTCGTAGTCGTAGTGGTAGTGGTAGTGGTCGTGGTGGAGGTGGTGGTGGTGGAGGTGGAGGTGGAGGTGGAGGTGGTGGTGGTGGTGGCGGTGGCGGTGGCGGTGGCGGTGGCGGTGGCGGTGGCGGTGGCGGTGGCGGTGGTGGTGGTGGTGGTGGTGGTGGTGGTGGTAGTGGTAGTGGTAGGAGTAGTAGGAGTAGGAGTGAGTAGTAGGAGTAGAGTAGGAGTCGAGTAGGAGCGAGTAGGAGGATTAGGGAGTTAGGAGTGGCAGTAGCAGTAGTTGTGGTTGTCGTGGTCGTTGTTGTTGATGTTTGTTGTTGTTCGTTTTTTTTGTTTGTTTGTTTGTTTGCTTGCTTGCTGGGTGGTTGGTTGGTTGGTTGGTTGGTTGGTGGGTGGGTGGGTGGGTGGGTTGGTTGGTTGGTTGGTTGGTTGGTTGGTTGGTTGGTGCTGCTGCGGCATTTTGGGTCACAGTTGCCAGTTGCAGTGACCCTTTGAAGTTGCCAGAGATTTGTTTCTATTCACGCAGCTGGAGCACGTGCTCAACAACCAGCTCGTCGGTTGGAACGGCAGTTACTGCAGGTGTATACATGTCTCATGCAAGAAGGATTGCCTCGTGTCATAGTGCTCACGATGCGTACTAACAACTCAAGCATTTTCAGCACAGCCAAGTATCCCGTGCTTGGTTTGATTGTTGAGGCTGTTGATGTGGGGGTAGAGGAAGCCGGATATTGTAGATGAGGGTGCAAGACTGTTGCCGCCAACAAGACAACCCACAGAAAGCTTAAATGATAAGTAATCACGATAACTATGCAAGGACGCTACTAGGAGCAAGGACGCTACTAGGGGCTTCTTAGGTTTGGATACTTTTTGCCTCATTTGCGTTTTGCGTGCGCGGCCTCTGAGAGTAGAATATCTTTAAAAACGTGAGCCCACGGGCTGCTACTGCTTCAAGTTTTTCCACTGCAACCTGTTCTTGCTTGTATCGAGAGATGCTCTTTCTACATTCTACATCTTTCTACACAAGTCAGCCGTTCTGCGTTCAGGTTGGTCCTGGCAATGTTCTGAGCACCCTGACTTCAAAATGTGTGTGGGTCTTGGTGGGATTCCTGCGTTGTTGCCAGTTCTGCTATCTTTTGATTGGACAACAACAAATAGCAAGACAAGCACACTCACCTCCAAACATTGTCCTCCACATGGCTTTCAAGTTTTGCCATCGTTTAAATTCAATCTTCAGCTATGCATCCCTTTCATTCTTTGGTGGGTTTCTACAAAAAGACATGCATCCGAGGTGCAAGCACAGGGCCACAAGCCGGATTTCCTCCAGTGCATGCGGCATCCAAAGGCGTTTCACACTTAGTGAGCTCGTGCTCTGTGGTGCATGAGACTGTCAAGGTACCGGCACGGGCGGTGGCACGGGTTGCTCTAGTGGCTGAGCCATGCGGAATTCTAAGGCTAAAGACCCATGATGTCGAGGCTGGACGCCTCGGGCCCTTGTCGTTGTTGTTTTTGGTTTTAAACAAATGAATATACTGCATACAGACAGCAACATGTTGGGTTTTGCTGACTACAGATTTGCTCCTTTAATCTGTGGCAGTGGACATTTGTGAGTGATTTCGGAGAAGGCTCCAAAGAAGATCAAGAATCAACACCCGGAACAGCCTTGACATTCTATGGGTGTGAGATTCGTCTTTTTCACAGGCTTTCTTTGGTGCTTTGGGCAAGCTATGGGAGGCCTGGAGTGAGATGCAGGGTCTCGTCTCTTTTGAAAGACCTTCACACAGTTTTACGCAATGGCTTTCTTTGCTCCAAGCAATCTCATAAGGGATCAAAGCAATTTGAAACGAGAAACAGGAGATTGCAAGTACATTCTATTGAACTCTGATTAGCTGGTTCAGACAGATGTGAAGTTGCAGTGTTGGGAGGCTGGTGTCAATGTCAACTGGGACACGCTCACCACAAAAGTGCTGGGAGCAACGCATCTTCCTCCTCTCACCCGACTCCCTGCACTGGGGCTCAGTTTATAGGACGCACAGGAGCTTAAGCACTCAAGCACTCAAGCACAGCATCAAACCAGGACAGAGCTGACCAACTTGTATCCCGTTCTCAATTTATGTAACCTCGGTCATGCTGCACCAACTGAGAGTTTGCTTAGGTGAATAGCGTGGTACATTTAGAACTTTAGAGAGTCTCTCTGGAACATGGCTTTGCTCAGTCGAGGCAATTGTCGATTGTGGCCAACCAGCTGTAATGAACTTATTAAACTCTCACACCCCAGTAGCATTCAGATGAATGCAAGGGTAGTTTTCTTATGGGCTAACTGACGTGGTGGCAACAAACAACAGCTGGTGACTTCCGAAAGTCTCGCCCAGGTTACTGAAGAAGTGACAGCAATTTTGTTGCAGACATGCATTCATTCATCTTCATTAGCGGCAGCGCCACTTCACCATGGTGGTACTAGAAACAACCGATAGCGAAAGCGTGATAGCTTGCCACTGAGGGTCTTTCCAAGTTGGGCAGAGAAGAGAAGATCCAGGAACAACGCACGCAGACGATGTGTTTCTTACGCGTTCTTATCTATTGGACCTGTCTATGCAACATTTTTTTCGACATGGAGCTATCCAAGGCCTATTCCTTCGAACCGACGAGCTTGTGGGTGAATCCAGAGCGTTCTGTGTACGTTGATGCCACGGAGGTGCGGGACACCCGAGAAACGTGAAGCGCAGAAACGGTGTTGCCATGATGCAGATTGATTTTGGTATCACCCGATAGCACTGATTCTGACTCTTTCTGGCATATTTTGGCAGCAAGGGCAGACATCACCTGCATTTACCCGCGTACTGCAGCGCACAATACAGACTGAGCATTGCAGGGATTTGTCCCTGCTCTATATAATATTTGGGAGAGGTTCATGGCAGCAGAATACAGGTGATTTAATGAGAGCAAATTGCCAGGACCCAGCTCCTGCTGCCTATATCGCTCAGGCACCAAGAGCTCTGCTTCAAACACGCGTGGCAAGGATCACTACAGTAGTTGTTTTGCGTGGTTCTTGGTTCGTCTAAAGGTCCTAGACTTGCGGAACCCTCGTTTTGGTGCTTAGAACGTGCTTGATCCGCAGGCTGCATCTGCATCGTCTGGAAGGTCCGGAAGTCGCGTCGGAAGGCTCAGATGGCGTCGACCGGAAAAGATTGCCGTACCAGCACCATGACATACCTCTTAAGCTTCCTCAATTTGTGCGGGGCAAAGCAGTTCTTGCAGTAAGTGTGCAATGTAGCGCTCTGGAACCAGCGTAGATATGCTGACGACTTTGCCCGTAGCTTCTTGGGTTGCCCCGTCACCTAACCTAGCACTCCCTTCACCCCTTAGTTCCCAACCCAAACTGGTTGTGGGGCCGAATCACGGCAAACGGAGACGAATCTGCGCGATGCTGCGCATGGATTCGAGTTCTCGGTTGTCAGTGAAGCCTCGGTTTTGGCAACTTTGAGGCGCTAGCGTACTGACAAGTGGTGATCTATATACATATATACATATATACATTATATATATATATGTTTATATGCGCAGAGATGTATAGAAGCATATGTATGATATAAAGATTCATTGCGCAATCATATTCAGAATCAGCCCTCTTTGGCAGGAAATATGCTTTGTCCAAAACCCACTTTGCTTCAGTGATCTTCGATCTACGCCTGCACGCCTTGAGGTTTTGGTGCGCTATGGAGAGGAGCTAGACACCGAGCCAGCTCTGCGGGTGCGATGGGCAGCGAACCTTTTGCAGTAGAACTCCAAAACTCTGCTTCCAGTTCTTTACAAACCATATCCAGCATGTAGTATGTGTTCGGTGCTTGCGAAACATATTGATTCAAACTTCCTAGATTGGAATAGATTCATGGTAGCAGTGCATCGAGTGCAGTCTTTGATGTCAATGTCCTCTTCGGGTGATTTAATTGTGCTGCAGCTGAATGGACATTCAAGAGGAAAGAACTACTTGTTGGGTAAGCTTTCAAACATGATCCAACACAGCCTTGTCAACTCTTAAAGTCTCGGGCCTGCTTATTCAGGTTTGTTTGTTTCATTATTTCATTTTCTGATGACGTTTTCCCTTGGAGGCCTACTGCTTACCGTTTGCCAGTGGCTCCTCGTTGGTCTTCGCTCCATGGGCTTCGGACGAGGCAGTGGAGATTGTGGCTGTCGCGCGGTCCTGAGCCCGGTCCAAGAGTGGAAGTAGAAGAAGAAGAAGCACAGCTAAAATATACCCAGAATATCACAGAATGCTCAGAATATATTCCGAAAGATTCAGAGAGCACAAGGAAAAGGAGTCAAACAAATTCATGCGGGATTCAGTTTTGCCGGCTGGTTCTGCTATCGGAACTTGAGAGAACTTAAAAGGCAAACAAGGATGAACCACTATGGGCCATGGGCCTCTTGATAACGGGGGTTATGAAGGTAAAACACTTGCCATTCTCAATGGTCCAGACGCCGATACAAAAGGCTGTGGAGTGTCACTGCCACGGAATCCGTCGTCTCACCTTCCAGCTGTCGAGTCTCAACTCGTATCCAGCCTTCGTGCACGTTCGGGTCATCTTGGCTGAGCCGTGCAGAGGAATTGCCCGGTCGAGGAGCTCGTGCTGAAGAGGTTGTGGGATCCGCGAGCGGTTCGGGAGATAGCCATCATTTACTCAGGTTTCATAGTGACCACCTAATATCGTGCATAGCGCGCTTGTCGGTGTTTCCATTTCAGTGAGTTGTTGGAGTTTGGGTGAGTTGTATGTTGTAGATCTTGCCAGGTCATGCCTGCAGATGATTCTGGAGACAGCGCAATGTTGGAGGTGGATGCTTTGGGTGTCAACGAGAGAAGGGTGATGAAGGGAGTGAATGTGTATGAACCACTTGATAGGCACTCCTCTTGACGCTTATTGTATCCATTGGCAGGCCTTGATCAATGAGATCTTGGCCGATTTGCGTGGCTGCCCCTATGTTGCGAACCAAGATATTTTTTCTGCTTTACGTGTCAATAGCCCAGTTCCGATTCATTGAGTCACATCTAATTATTCACTCATTTCGCCATCTGCACCTTATATACATTGACATTGTGCTGCTTCCCTTCTATCAGAAAACAATCACCTGAAGTGCTTGCAGGTTCCTTTTCAAGACTTTTTCACTCCAATCCTGAAGACTCGCGGCTTGCTTGCCGGGGAGAAGTGGGTGATTCGGACAGGTGAGACAAGGATCCTTGCCCTTTTCCATACATCTATAAGATGCACAATCGTTTTTCCAAGTTGTCCTCGCACTGTTTGTCTTGTGAGGTCCTTGTTGGATTCTCCATGGGTGGCGGCTTCGCAATGGAGTTGGCGTTGCGAATTGCTGCCGCTCAGTGTCGGAAACGCTCGAAAGGCACCTCCCTCACTGGCGGATTTCCAGAGCACACCTACCCATCCCCCATCCCTACTTAGACTTGTTTCATCTTGGGAAAATGCCATTGCCAACACACAGCCTGTACCTGCGTGAATCGAATCGGCCCGCAGTCGATTGTTGAATTTGCAGTTTGCTAATTCTGCATCTTACGATTGCATATCCATCGACAATGACCACTAATACACCACTGACTATATATGCAATTATACATAATATTACATTATTTCATATCCACATCTCATGAGTTACTCTGCTCCTCTACATGTTCCCGTCTCTCGGAATAGTCTCTAGGGCTTGACCCTTGAACATCTTGAGATAGATGTTGCATAGAACTCATTGACGTTGTCCTTCAATCTCTGTGTCTTTTGCTGAGGACAGAGGATCTGCTCCGCTGCCTTTGGCTGTCAATGGCTCAGCATACAGTCATCCTGCGTTGGAGCAGTACCATTGATTCTGAGATTTGACAATTTTTGCAAACCCCTGCATTGGAAGTAGTTGAGCTTAGGTCTATGTTGCTGGACGAAAACCTCCGGCCAAAAAGCCTGATGATGTGCTCGGATCTTAGAAAGAGCAAGGATTTTGTCAGTCCTTTGTCACTTGCGCGGGAGACAGATAAGGCCTGTAATTGCAATGACCAATGCAGAGCTGGCAGCAATGGGCTTAGCTTCCGTTTTACAGAGCCATCACAAGTGCTTCCGCCTTTCCAAAGATTTCACGCAATAGAGCCCAAACTTTGGCTGTGCGCTTCAAATTGTCCTTTGCCAGAGTCACTTCGTCGCTTCAATGTTTTGCGCGTGCGAATGTCGATGTGTTTGTCTGAGGCTTATGCATTTGCTCCACCGGAGGCTGCAGCATCCCCTGAGTTCTTGGATCATGCCCGGCTCCTGCGCCAGAGACACACACGGAGTCAGCTGTCATATCAGAGCCTCCATACAAGCTGAATTGTCAAAGTCATATGAAAGGGAAGCAGCCGTCCCTAACGAAGAGACTTTGCAGCTTGAATTCTTGGGCTTGCAGAGACTGTATTTGATACTTTGGAAAGGCAAATTGGGAATTCGTTGGACTATGATTATGTCAATGACGTTCTTTGCTTATAACTTATGATCATTGTTGCATCCCTTCGGCCAAGGTTGTGCCTTTGTTGAGGTCTGATCTGGAGGCGGGACCTGTCAATCAGTGCAGTGCCATCGGGAATATTCTGCATGCGGACCGTCTGCGGACCGTCAGTGGGCATGGAGGTTGTGGGGGTGCGGCACTCTAAGAAAGCTGACCAAGCCTAGGCACACGCCAAGTCGGCTGATCTTTGGCAAATCGTTGCAAGCGCCCCATGACCTGATTTGCCAAAGCAACAGACCATGCCAAGCACATGCCACAGAGTGACATGCTAAGTCGGCAATGTCCCAGTGATGGTGGACTAAATGTGCAGCCAATAGGCCCGGCACTCTGTCAACACTCTCCAAAAGAAGGCCAAATCAAAAAAAAGGCGTATCCGAAAGAAACCAAAGTTCTTCCAAATGCGATGCACTCCATCCAAGGCTACCTCATGGCCCTTTGATCCACTGAGGGAACAGGTACATAGTGTTTTGAAACTACCAAAGAATGAAATTCCAGGAATTCCAGGAGGAATATCTTCATCAGTGGATTAGCAATCCTGTTTTAGAATCCCAAAGAGGAGAAGAGAAGTAAACACATTTAGCAAAACAGTGACCCAACACCAGGCGCCGCAACTTAGCGAGGTCAACAAGAAGATCGGCTATACTATACACCTTTTTTGCCCATTCAATGGCTTGTAGCCGAGCATGGCACAGCCGTTGGGCGCCGTTCATCGATTGAGCGAGCAACCCTCACTGCGAGCACCCCATCACTGGTATTTCTAAGCGACGTCAGACATCACGCAGGACATGTCCTAGAGGGTAGTGGACATGTCCACAGAACACAACCCGCACACGGCAAGTTGAATTATTGGTTTGGCATTGAACAGGCGCAAGAACGCATCTTCAATCGAACTAAGCAACGAAGAAGTAGCCTTGGTCGCATGGAGAACACACGTCCACAAGACATGCCAACCAAGAACATGTCCTGAATTCATTCATTGACATCGCTGCAACAAAAGTCCCTTGCGGCCATAGGGTATAGAGTATACAGTCATCAGCAGGAATTGAAAAAGCGTCTTGACCACCCATAGCCACGAAACAATATTTTATGTCAATGGACAAGCCGATGAATGATTGAAGAATCCCAAGTGAAAGACGGCAAGCAACTGTGGCAGTGAAATACACACACACACACCGGGGCGGCGCGGCGGAGGGTTTGAGCCGCCTAAAACCAAGCCGGTTCTCCGAAAAAGATCACCGGCACAGCCTTGTGAACTGGAAGATGCAAACTCATGCTTTAGAAGAACAGCCCATCCAAAGCTCACAGTGAGCGGACGCGATATGGACTGCAGTATTGGCCAAAAGAAAGCAGTTGTGGCAACGAAGGTTGAGCGAGTAGCATCGCAATGTCACAGACAACCTAATTCAGCTGTAACCTAATTCTGAGTCTGAGGGAGGGTACTGCATCATCATTCATGAATCAACTGGACCTGTGCAGTTCAGGCAAACTCGCCGGTAGATATTGGAGTGGAAAGTCTTCGTCCGGGTTGTTTGAAGCATTCCCTGAGCGCAACTAGTAACTAGTCAAACAGCATGAAACCGTCCAACTCAGGCCGATGCCCGTGCGGAGCGGCGGCTAATCGCACGAGCGGGACAGCCCTCATTGCCTGGCAATGTGGGTGTGGAACTGCTTGCGCCTCAGTGGGAACTGCCTGCGCCACTTTAGACAAACAAAAAGAGAAACAAGGCCAGAAACAAAGCAAACAAATATGAACGCAGCACGACCCTTCAGAGGAACTGTCCATTGCTTGGCCCTGCCAGCCTTTCCATTCTTTTGCATCAGGTTCTGCGGTACCAGTGACACCGTAGCGCCGTGGACAGAGGCGCAGCTGCAGCTTAGGGCATAGAAGAGTTTGGCTTGTCAACCAGGCCAATGAGTTGGGAAGCTTTCAAGCAACAATTTCCTGTGCTACTGGGAACAGATTCTGGGAACAGATTCCTGGAACAAGCAGGCACTTCCTGTTTGGTCCAAGACAAACAGGTAAGCTTGGGATGTTATTCTACAGAGAAGATACAGTAGGTCGCACGTAGTGTTAGAGAGATGATATGAGATTATGGGGAGATGCTTTTATGAAAGGTGGGGTTGTCACCAATGTCACTCAGCACAAAACCCTCCAAATACGAAGCAATCCATTTTATAAGAGCATTCATCTTACCATCACAAACTTTTGGTTTTCTTTTTCACACGACGCTTTTGACACAAGCATGGAGATGGTTTGGTGGTTTGGTCATTTATGCAAGGCCGAGCTTTTCAAGAATTGCCGTGACACCGAGCTTTAAAGTTTCCTGCGCGGCCGACTGAACGACTGAACATGGCTCAAAACCTTTGGATGTTTTGAACGAATTGCAGATTACAACCACAGCCCTGAGGCCTATGGGCAGTTCCTCCTTGTATAAACAATTTGAACTGGTAACCACTGAAGGGGTTGGTTCTTTAGGTTTTGCTGCATAAATGGACTCCCCGGCTTTAAATTGAAGGGTGTTATCAAACATAGGAAAAAGTAAGGGAAATGCATTTTACAGAAGCAGGAGCCTCCCCAGGACCCAGCTGCCTGGGATGAGGGACTTGGTGCAGAGGATTGGCAACCACTGGGACAAGACTTGCAAGGGCTAAGTTCTGGCGGCTCAAGCACTTGTGGGCTGCACCACCAAGCAAACATTCCATAAGATGCAAGGGACCAAGACACATTCACAGAAAGTGTCTTGAACTTGCTGTTGCTTTTCTGCTTATATCATTGTTGGTGCAATTTTCTAAGAACTCTTTGTTGGACATCATTATATTGAAACTGAAACATTCTTTTTACAAAGGGTTTGGGAACAGAGGTTTCTAAGGTTTGGTTAGCTGGACAGTTCTTCTAATGTGTGGCACCAAGCACGAACTACTTGGTAGTCTTTTACACATATAAAGGGTTTGGCTTACAGAGGCTCAATGCTTGATGGGCGAAGGGACAGATTAATGTCAGGCTCCTGGCTGGCAGCGTTTAGTGGAGGCCACAATCGGCACGGCTCTCGGAATTCCAGCGTCAGATGGAACTGTTGAGAGCTGGAACAAGCGTTCAATACTTTCAGGCCCTGCTTGGAAATTAACATCTATGCCAACCAGTCTTCGTTGCTCATGCTTCGGACCACCTACAAAGTTTCCCGATGACTTGCGTGAACAATAAGAAATACGTGTGCTGTATTCTGAGCAGATTGTCAGTGAGCTCATGGAAAAGATCTGTAGTTGGTAGACAGGGGCAATGGCCACACGACTACTTCCTCAAGCAAGTTCAGCGACATCAACAGCTGCATAAAGCCCCTATAATATGAGCAGGTCATGCCAAATTTGCTATATCGTTATACAAGCGCAAGCTTGCCTGGTACCAAACATTTGCAACTTGTCCAACATCCAACATGACTTGTAGTTGAGGGTGTCATCCAATGATTGATCAGCGTTTGGCGGCGGACCTTTCCTTCCATGCCTTTCTGGCCTTTTCACCTTTGTCCTTCTGTGCGTTTTGTGTCAATGGATGCCACTATGTGGAAACGAATCGCTTCACTAAATCCAGATTGGTTGAAGCAGGAGGATTGTTGCCTCCAGGCCTACATTATCTTCCTGGAGGTCATGAGTTTATGCAGGAGCCACATTAATCGGACGATGAAGGATTCATTGTTTATTTGTACATTGTGCAGAACTTGCACATTCTGCATCTCGACATTCGATTCGATGTACCTGCATGGCCTGAATTGCCAAGCAGCAGTCGTGAAACATACAACACGCAGACGCAGACAGAATTTAAATGAGCTTACCTGCGTTTGCAGTTTATACATTCTCATTGACTGGAGGACCAGAGACCGAATATCCTGACAGCCTGGCGTGCGGCTGCTCTATGGTTTTTGTACGACGGCTAGAAGGGACATTTGGGCGACACCAGTACTGCATGGTGTGAAGGCCGTTGATGCAGTGCTCCAATTGCGTTTCCATTTTTGGGAGTATACGACACATGTGGATCGACACATGTGGATCAACGCAACTATGATCATTTTCATTTACGCAACTATGTGGACTTTTCCCTGAAACGGGTGGCAAAGTCCATCATATGGACATCCGGCTTTGAGGACATGAACCTCCAATTCACCCGAGAAGTAGGTTTGTTGCGTGTCAAGTGTCTAGCATGTGAACAGTGTGATAATATAATATATATATATGTGTGTTTGTGTGTCCATCGAGCATGCAGCATGTGTTTCATTTCCGTTTTTGAAGACTGAGGTCGGGATGCCATCGGTCGACTTGTGCAGCGCCGTACCATGGAGGAGTGGTTGAGAAGCCTTGTTTGGAAACTGCAAAGAGATTCATGATTGAACATTTTGGTTTAAGCCATCGGGTTTCCATTCTTAAAAACCACCTTTTTAACATCATCTACTGTAGATAAGATAGATAAGACATATTATTAGACATTTTTTTCAAGATCGATGGCATGACACCAAAGTCCTCGACAACATCCAGTGCCAACCAGGCAGCAGTACTCGCGGCACGCGGTTTGGGTACAACATCTGCAGGCAAGCCAGTGCCCTGAACACTGTTCGTGTTGTTTATGCCTATGTTTGGGCGTGCAAGGTTCGACTATGGGTTCATTCAAGCTCCTTTACAGGACCAGTAGGTCTATCTGCGGGAAGCCAAAGAAAGGTATGGAATAACATGAGTAGCCGCTGTGCCACCTCAGTTTGAGGTGTCTCGAATAGATGTTTCCCCAAACAGTTTACTGTTAGGGAATTCTTTCTTAAGATGTGTCCGCCCGTTCTGTCACTGCCGGTGTCCGCCCTTTTCCGCTGGCCATGAAGCATTTCTATTCGTTTGTCTCCCAGGTGATTTCTTTACTTTTGTCTCCCAGGTTCGGTGCCTGCATTGCTGGTGTCCCGTTTCTGTTGTGATTTCTTTACTTTCGTCTCCCAGGTTCGGTGCCTGCACTGCTGGTGTCCACCCTTTTCCGCTGGCCATGCAGCATTTCTATTCATTTGTCTCCCAGGTTATTTCTTTACTTCCCCAAACAGGTTTCTGTTCGGGGTTCTCAATGCTTTCTAAGGGTGTCCGCCTTGCTGCGGGACAGCGTGTCCGCCTTCCGTCCGGCTTGTCACCCTCTGTCTCCCTTCTTGTTGGTCATTTGTGTCCGCCTTGTCTCCCTCCTGTCTCCCTTTGTCTCCGGCCTTGTCTCCCTTCTTGTTGGTCACTGTGTCCACCCCTTCTCCCTTCTGTCTCCTTTTGTCTCCCTTCTTGTTGCGCGGTGCCAACCTCTGCCTTGCAATCCTTTCCATTTGTCTCCCAGCTCTGGACTGCTGTGTTGCAGTCCTGTACATGTCTCGCTTGCAACCCTTCAAGTTGTCTCCAAGTTCTGGACTGCTCTGCCCTGCAATCCTTTACATTTGTCTCCCAGCTCTGGGCTTGCAATCCATGCAATCCTTTACATTTGTCTCCCTGTGTTTACATTTGTCTCCCAGCTCTAGACTGCCGTATCTGCCTCTGCCTTGCAATCCTTTATTTGTCTCCCAGCTCTGGGCTGCATGTCGCTTGCAATCCTTTACATCTGTCTCCCTGTGTCTACATTTGTCTCCCAGCTCTGGACTGCTGTGGCCGCCTCTGCCTTGCAATCCTTTGTCTCCCAGCTCTGGACGTCGCAAGCTCTAGTTGCAGAGTGTTCCGATTTTGAAAAACACAAACTGTTTGGGGTCTACGGTGGTGTAATTTGGGCACTTTGGCCATCGCGCAAGCTGGAACCACTGCACTGGTCAGTTGAGAGAAACTGCAACTTAACATGCTGCTATTTGCCCTGTTTCCTAGCTACAACCTGAATTGTGCAAAAAAACACAACTGGGTTTACATGATTGGCTGGATGTGATACCCAGGTGAATAAGTAAAGTACGCCTGCACACAATCCTTTCAAGACAGACAGACAGGGATGCACAAACCACAAAGACCCTATGTATCGCTATGATTGGGGAAAAAAAGGGCCATGCCCATGGTCCCTTTTCCTGAGGCTTCATCGGTCTGGCTCCTCCAAAAGAAGGCGCGCCGGGGCAGCGTGTGGAGCACTGCAGAGACAAATTCCTACAAAAGAGTCAACACACTTGCAAGTCATGCAATGCAAAAATTATCAAAACTAGATGCACTGCATGGTGTGCTGATTTGATTTGAAGCTGTTCACACGCTTTTATTATGCGAAATGTACTCAGGTCCTCCTACCCGCAAGAAGGAGCTGCCTCTCTATGCCGTGTGCAGCTGCCCTGTCTTGAACTCTGAAAGCACAGTGGGTTTCGTGCTGCGGAACTCAATTTGGCCAAGAATCTTCAGCGCATAGCCGAACTTGGCATGTTCTTGGCTTCACTGTTTTGCAAAAACTGTCAGCTTTGCAGCAGCCTTCCGCAAGCCTGAAACTCCATGAATAAACACACAATAGATTCAATAGATCCTTTTGGCATACAGTATTTCCGGAGTAGCACTCACCTGCAGAGTCGTCTTCACTTTTGCCTTTGGTGTCATGCCTCCACGGAGCCTGGTCTCGCATCCAGGCGGTGGCAACAGGCAACAGCTCAGTTGAAGCCCGAACCCAAGGCAGATGCCAAAGCACAGCCAAAGATGCTGAAGGCGGCTACAGGCAGGTTCCAAAGGGCTGGGGAAATCGCTGTTCGATGTTCAAGTTTTGGGTCACTTGTGTGACCCCGTCTAAGGACAGTATTCTCCATGGACTGGAAAACAAGTGTTTGCAGCGTCCTGTTCGGAGTGAAAAATAGACTGGCTGACGTTTCCCGCAGTCTCGTTTCCGTGGAGAGGAAGACAACGAGTAAAAACTCTAAACTGTTTTAAACAGCACTTGGAGTTTGAAGGTCGCAAGAATTCATCCGTCGGATGTCCACAAGTCGCCAGCCTTTGCTGTGAAGCACTGGTGCAGGGGTACCCTTCTTGGTGAAGCTCACCTCCGAGCCACTCAAGGAAGGCCAGGCTGGCCAGGTCGATGGACAAGATTTCTGCTTGCGGGGACTCGAGCAGATCAAGGGTTTAAGGCTTTGCCCAATGCTTGTTGGTGTATATATATATATAATTATGTATATATATATATGTATATTACTGAATGTATATATTACACTGACACACTCTAGTTGATTATCAGATTAAGAGTCGACCTGAGGCTCAACGCTCAAAGGAGACAACGATGCATGAAGACCCTTCACAGACCTTGGCATTCCACGGCCAAAAAATATCATCGTCCCAGGCGAGGTGGCAGAGGTGGTTCAAGCAGCACAACGAAGTTTGCAGTTAGTGCTGAACTTGGAGGGGAGACTTTGAGGTCTGACTTAGGCTCTGGGCTGGACTCGATTCCGCCTGGGGTCTTGGAGGGTTGGGGGGGGGCACTTCTGATGACGTGGTTTTTGGAACATGAACGAAGAGGCTGTGCACGATGGTCGCCTTGGCCGTCTCAAGCAATCATACTTGGACGCTTAGGTGATTGCTTGCTTGCCCACGCAGGGTATCTTTGAGCAATATGAGGCATGGAGATCATCTCAACAAAGCAACTTGGCAACTTGTCTTGTTACAACTAGATTGGATATGTTTGCCCAGAGCTTCCTCACAAGTGACAGCCAGTAGATTATGATTGTGCTGCCTTTTGTCAGGAGGAGCTCCAGCTTGCATGGCACTTTGTTCACTTGGTTCAGCTGGGGAATCTCAGTGGGGGAATGGATGCTATAAACTCAGACTTTTATTAAGGGAGGCAGTGCACAGTGTCGTTGGCAGCGGTCGTAAGTACATCTTCACACGCCAAATTCTTTTCTTTGCCCGGTTTGACGTGGCTCTCAACTGGAATTCGTGTACCCACTGTTGTAGTGTCAGGCACTCGTACTAGTGTCAGGTACGCGTTCACATCATTGGTTGGTCTCAAAATGTGGACCCCAAAACTTCTAGTGACTAACGGAGCGGGAAGTGCCGTGAGGAACTTTTGTTTGCTTGCAGAGACATCAACCCATACTGTGTGCATCGATTTGGATGCCGTCGCTAGTGGAGCTTCAATGCTGGAGAAGTTGCTCTGACTAAAGCCCTCTCGGCGGTGCCTTTGTCGCGGCTGCTCCTGGCCTTACCACCAGGAACAAGAAGCTATTAGAAACAAGAAATAGATAGAATTAAGCTAAACTTAAGATTAGAAGCTATTAGAAGCTTGGATACTTACTAGCAAGTACTACGTGTAGCCTCTGATCCACTCATGGATGTAAGGACGGTCTGCAGGGACTTTTCCAAGAACACAAGACCTGGACAAACATGGCTCCGAGCACCGTCCGCGGTTTCAGCAGACCAAGGCGTTTATTGGAAGCTGGAGTGCCGTGCTCAGTTGTCATTCATTGTACTTCTGGCGCGCCAAACTTTCCAGCACCATGTTTCCCCACCCTGAGTCTGGTGGACACTGTCTCAAATGGCATTCTTCCGGAACAAAGCCAAACAGCATTTGATCATGTTCTATCGTCTATAGTGATCAACCCCCTATTTTGCGCACATGGTTTCATTTCCACGATGATTTCACAAAAGACATGTGGTATCATGGCGTTACATGCATAAATTTGCACTAGGAGCAAGGACGCCACTAGGAGCAAAGGGCATCGCAACTAGGAGCAAGAAGCTACTAGGGGCTCCTGGCCATACTACTAGTAACAATAAAGCATCTCTTCTTGCACGAATGCGGTGAATGGACGAGACCGGTTGTTGGCGCGACCATCAGATGTTCGGATACAGTCGGGTTTGAGGGAGCTTGAATTAGGAATGCGTGGTCCTTCTTTGGGGTACTCTTGTATGCGAGTGTATATATATATATATCATATGTTTCCCCCCCAAAGACTCACCCTTCTGCAATCTTCTGCCAAGGAATTGGGATAAAGTATAGCTTATACAGCAATCTGGAAGCGCAGTTTTGTGCGCACAGTTTCTTGCCTACCAACTCGATGGACTGTTGTGCATTCAATCAACACCTGATTGCATTTGTTTGAGCAGTATATTCATTTGCGTAAAGCTTCAGTCAACATAGTTGCTTTGTGCAGCATCTAGAATCTAAGCACACAGGGAAGATTCTTCATGAAACAATACCACGAGGATGTTCGGTCCTTTTATATGCACAGCAAATCAAAGATAGGTGGAGGGAACCGCCGCCATGAAACGCTTCATACCCAACCAGCTCAATGGGTGAGGTAAAGCACCGAGGCAAACCCTTGAATAGGCATGAACATACCGCTTTCCCAAACCGACCCGGTGCACGGTCTGGTTTCAGGGAGTGAAAGAGATTGCACTGTATTTCGGAGAACAGGCATGAATGTTTACTGTTTCACGGGGACCTTGAAATGGGAAATGCATCAACAAACAATACGCAACAAAACGTGCCAAACAATGTCAGCGGGACGCACAAGGACTTCAACTGGATTCTGCATTGCTCTATTTCATTTTTTTGGTGGACAGTGCTTCATCCGTAGCAAGACTCGAGGGACTGTGGATATATTCCAGCTTTTGGACTCGCAGTGAGTCGAAGTGGGTTTGTTTCGTCCAAGAAATGTTGGCAGCCCTCTGTTGACTATTTGACTGATCATGTTCAGGTTGAGTGACTTTCCAGACACGTGACACGGTCGTCATCCTCCGCGCAGAATCTGGGTTGGTCAGGTCTCTGCCAAGCTTCTAGTAGTCACTGCTGCGGCTTCAACCGGAGCAATGGTGGCTGGTGCCAGCAAGGCCCCAGGGCAAAAGAATGGAAAGCGGGATCCCTGAGAGCGCCACAAATTATGTTGATACTGTATCTAGTTCTGGAATGATCCCAGCAGGATCACTGAACTCCATCTTGCAATGTTGCATTTTATCTCCTTCCGGTTCATACTCACCATGTTCAGGCGGTGGCCATGGAAGCTTCCGAGCTGAAGATCCAGCGTGCCTCACTATCACTGTAGAACTGTTCGCAAATCTTGCAGAAATCGCAAGTTGAAAGGATGCACATGTAATTGAGCTCGGCAAATTTTCATAGACATGTTGCCTCTCACAGATTCCACACGTCACGTTGTGACAACTGGATCGCGATGCTTCTTTTCCCCAAAAGGAATCGCCCGATCAGGACCATACACTGTACACTGTCAGCGAGGAAGTAAGAAGACTCATCCGTATAGCAATTTCTTGGGCCAGAGCATGGTCAGGCAATTTCTTGGTTCCTTCCAGCAAGACAGCGTCTGGAACAGCCCATGCTAGAGCATGTTTTACACGAGGACCCTTCAAATCCACCCCTTTAAAAAGAGTGTTCACGATTTCTTCTCGTGTCAGGTATCTTCGTTCCGCGAAGTTGTCTTCAAGCAATCTCGGAGCACGCGCGGAGCTCAGGGTGGGCATCACGTGCAAGAGACTGCAACCACCGCTGTTCTGTTTACCTATATACTTGTTCGATTTATATCATGGTCTTGTGCTGAATTGCTAAGTAGAACGCATATCTGCTTACTTCCTCAGGTGGAGAGGCTATGCTCAGCCTCAGAGTTGTACAGCCACGAGCAGGGTCGCCCAGAGGGCGGCAAGATGCAAAGGTCAGTCTTGTTCTGAAGTTGAACTCCGGTGTGGATAAGTTAGGTTTTGAGTAGTTAAAGTGTTTTTGTATGTACATATATGTCCCCACTAGCATACCATGTTTGCCGGCGATTTATAAACCCTTGCTATACAACACCAGAAATACTTGCTGTAGATGGTATGATATTTTACAATATTACATATATATATATATAGATCCACTACGACCGACACCATTCTCTTATCCTTTCCCTTTCTGATCTTCTCACCATGTCCTCTCATTCCCGATTTGTCAGTGTGCTTTGCTATGACGAACATGCATTTTTTTTTTGTTTGTGTGTGTTAGAATGGGATTGACACTGCCGTTCTGAACATGTGATGGAGTTGATGGCAGGCGGGGCCTGAATAATTTCTCCAAGGGGATTTTCAGCTACGTCAATGTCAAGTGTTGGGTCATGTAACGACAGCACGACTTCCATACCACTGCAGGTTGCTGAGCGGGGCAGTTGCTTCGTGGGGGCAGTTGCCGGAGAGGGTGCCAGACAGCAGCTTCGAAACCCAATAAAAGAAGGTTGACAAGCCCACGGCCAGAGGCGAACTTAGCCCATGTTGCTTTGCGCACCAATCTGGCCGGAAAGAGTGCCACACGGCAGCTTCGAAACCCGCTAAAAATGGTCAGCGTGCCCACCCTCTGCCACAGCCTTAGCCCATCGGTTCTGCGCGCAAATACGGCTGGAAAGGGTGCCAGACGGCAGCTTCGAAGCCCGGGTTGGCAAGCCCCCATGTTGTTCTTGCACGCGTGCCCAGACGGTAGCTTCAAAGCCGACTACAAAAAGGTTTGCAAGGCCAGGGCCAGAGTCATGGAAGGCGTGCCGTGCCTCGCCACGCCCTTGGACCTTTGCTGCGTGCAAGAAAGCAGCGGCAGCATCGCCAAAGAAAGACATTGCCCAAGGCCCAGCAGCAGGTAACTGGACAAAAGGTAAAGGTGAGGATTCCGCCCTGCGGTGTCCCGGCATCGCCCGGCTTAGAGCAGGCTAAGCTGGGGTCGGCGGATATAGCTGCGTATGGGTGTATGTAGAGGGGGATGAAAGCACTTGTTGTGTGGGCACTCCAGAATCAATCAGAATCAGTTAAGATCACGCAGTTGTCAAAGGCCTAAGCACACAGGCACTTTCTCAATCATGTTTCCTTTGTCAGTTGGAAGGTGCTCAAAGATTCAATGTGCCAAGGATGAAAGAGTGCACAATGAGTTGTCATTGGATGACGTTTGGTTCAGCTCACTCATCTCACGCGTTTTCTCTGAGGACCGATATTTGGCTCAGACATGAGATGAGTCGCACTGCTTATGCGTGGAACTCAAAATATCGCAAGCTCAGTGAGGAGCAAACCAAGATTCCCGGGCAAGGCACTTGTGACATCTTGTGTCCACACCATGCAAGTCGGTGCATTTTTGTTCCAGGTGCAACTGCAGGGCTGTGGGGTTTTGAAAGGCATGGATACAGTAGGCTCAGTAGACTTTCGCACCCAGGGAGGTTTCGCAACAAACCACCTACAGTGCAGGTTCGAACTCACACCGGAAAACTGCACTACACAACATCAAATATCAAGAGGCCTGACTGAATTACGTATCAGGAGCCACTCAGCCTACATTCGTATTTTATTGTTGATCTCTGCACATAGTCTAAGCAGCGCAGGTCTTGATATGATAGCAATGAACACCTCCAGCAAACCTTTTGAGCACAGAAACATGCAGTGTTTGCTTGCTTCAGGTGCCACGCCTTGAGCGATGCCTGAGCAGTGGCCGAAAGCGGTGTATTCAGTTACATGGTGTGGATGGGGACCGCCGGGCAGGGCCGAAATGCAAGGCGGTCATTATTGGCAAAGCGGCAAATCAGCACATAGATCATGGTCGACCGTGGACAAGTTGAAATCTGTTGACAAATGGACTTTGAACCAATGGTTTCCACTTGCAGACACAAAAGAGTTGTAGCTCGAAGGACACAGACAAGGTGGTGTGCGAACACGTTTCCCTCGTTCCACAACGATTTAAGTTGTCATGTTCAAACCAAATTACTCTAACTGCATCGTGCCCCTACCCTTGAGATTGATGCAGAATGATGCATAGTTGTTTTGCAGTTGATTTTGCATGGGCTACTGACACAATGCCATCCCCTGACTATTTTACTGCCTAATACTTTAAGGCTTACAGCAAAACAACCCTTCACTGGTTGGTTCGCCTTGTTGGGCCATGTGATTTTCTTCCTTCTTCTTGTTCTTCTTTTGCTCTGTCCCCCTCCTCCTCCACCACCTGCACCTCTTTCTTCTTTGCAAGCAAGCAAACCACCAGTGGACAGAGTGCTGATCATGCAGCTCGTGCTCGCCAGCACTTTTAGCATTTCAGCAGTCTCCAATTTCGACAAGCAGAACTGCAAAGAGGTAAAGTTGCCTGCTGGCATTTTTGGATCCACTCTTCCAAAGTAGCTGTGAAACGAGAAGAAACCTTTCCTAGCTTCACATTCTTCCCTTTCAAGCTTCACCTACAACTTTTCGCCACTGCCTGACTGTCGATATTCAGTGCACTGTGCATTTTGCACTTCAACTGGTCTATATAATTGATACACTTTTTTGAGCTCTTTAAACTCTTTCCCGCTTAGTCCTCTGGTGTGACACCTTTCTATTTCTATTTGACTTTCTAGATCATTGAGCGATGCAGCTGCACCTGCGCTCAAAATCATGTGTAAACTGAAGCCGCAAATGAGTAATCTACCTCATGCTTCTGTCATCTCTTGTCTACCTCGTCAGTTCTTTCATTTGCTGCCATTTGGCGTGCAAGGAGCTTGCGAGCTACGTGCTCACGGGTGCCACTGGCGGCCTGGGGAAGTCTGGCGACCCAAAAAGCGCCTTTCGGGGACAGGGAAACCACAGGACCTCATATTATGCTCAGAAGACCGCCCTGTTCAGCATGCATGGACTATGGTGAGCCACTAGGAGCAAGGACGCCACTATATTATATAGTATATAGCTCTTGGCATCGCTGCTAGTAACAAAAAGGCCATCGCTACTAGGAACCAATGACGCCACTCTAAGCCTTGAGCTCCGCAGCTCCGCCCTTCTCCCTCCCTCTGCCTAGGGCTGTGGTGTCTTGGTTGGTGAACGACCAGGTGGGCCACGATTTGGGAAACACTTTGTTGCGGGGTTTACAACTCTCACATCGTTCCTGGATTTGAGATTGTTAGTGATCTAGGTTCCTCCGTTTTTGGCTTTGCAGGGCTTGCAGCCAAGCCAGCTGGTGCTGCTCAGACGCGCGGGCTCAAGCAAGCTGGATGATGATTTAGCCAAGTGTACTGTGGTCGAGGCCTGGTGAGAGAGGGATCGCAGAATCACAGGCATTTTAAATTGTTCTTGTTTTGGTCATCCTTAAAGAAGCACAGAATCATCCAAACAATCTACGTCAAGTTGTTTGTAGAACCTAGAGAGGCAATGGCTCGTAGGAGTTAAAAACCATGTTAAAACCATGATGCAAAAAAAGGGAACAATGATGTGTCCCACCTACCTGGCACAACAGAGTCGATGCAAAGGCATGCACTTGTGAACCAACCACGAGGTCGCAAGTTCATCGATGTAGGTGTCGGACCACATGCGGCAAGCGATGCTGCGAAGGAAGGCAAATCATTTTTAACATCACGAACCCTTGTTGTGCAAACAACATCATTAGAAACTGACTGTACTGGTGGGACTTGAAGACGAAGGCAACGAGCCTGGTGAACACCCCAGCTGCCCTGGATTCGATGAGTCGTGATGAATCATGAGTGTCCTGAACTTGGCTCAACAAATCTCAGGATCCCACCGATTTGTTAAGGAGTGTTTTGTGGCCTTGTTCCTTGCGCGCAAGGGCCGCAAGGGCAACTGATCGCCTGTGCACGGCTGGTGCCAGGGTACTCTTTTCTGACATGTTCAAACAATCGGACGCAATCGGACGCGAAGAGCCGGCTGCAATAGCAACAGTACTGTCCAAAAGTGTCCAAAAGGATGGAGCCTGCTCAAAGAAAGTAGGTCCGAATCATGAAAGCCATAGTGGGCCATGTGATTGTCAGTGTCAGGCACCAGCTTGCAGTCAATTTTTGACCCTGCCATGCCCGTGTGCACTACACACAGAGGCACAATCAAAGCACACACCCGGGCACAAGGTCGTACGCGTGTAAGCAGGGGTACAGATGCTAATCCCACATTGCCTGCATCCATTTGTATGTCCTTCCGGGACCTGGAATAAGTAATGATTGTTTCTCACGTGAGAAAAACCTCATTACTCCTTCCAGGTACTTATTTTGACCGCTCCGCGGTCTGAAACCGCGTCTCGAGTGCCCAGGGAAGGTGCGACTCACCAACCGAGGCGACCCTGGTGGGGTGGTGAGTCGCACCGCCTGGGCAAATCGAGAAGTGTACCAACAAGACCTCTGCATTTAGTACGGGCTCTGCACATTCTCTTGACGTTGGGCCACACAGGTGACGTGTCTCCATGCTTGGTTCAGGAAAGGCATTGTATTCTAATGACGGGGATTGAATGGATGAAAATCGAGCAATCCGCTCACTGTTGGGGGTCTCTCTTAGGGAAAAAGAAACTGGCCACAGTCTCTGGGTGCGGCTGGTGAACGCTGTGTCCGGGCGTTGTCCTTCTGTTATCCTCTTCTTGTCACGTCCTTCTTCTGGTGTGCAGCTTGGCCGCAGCTGCCAGCCGGTCTCCAGACCTTGTTCTCCCCTCTTTTGTCTTCTTCTTGCCGTCTGATTGTCCTCCTCTTGTCCTTTGTCCTCTTGTTTTACTTCTGCTGGTTTCCAGCTCGGCCGCGCTGGTGAGCCCTATGTCCGCCTGTTGTCTTCTTGTTGTGCTCTTGTCCTTCTTCCAGCTTGGCGCAGCTGCTAGCCCGTCTCAAGTCCTTGTCCTTTTGTTGTATTCTTTTTGTCCTCTCCTTGCCCCCTACTTTTCCTCTTCTTGTCCTGCTGTTGTCCTCTTCTTGTCCTCCTTTTGTCCTGTTCTTGACCTCTTCTTATCCTCCTATTGTCCTCTTGTGACACCAGCTTGGCCGCGGCTGCCAGCCAGTCTCCAGACCTTGTCCTCCTGTTGTCCTCTTTTGTTTTTTCTTCCTTGTCCTCTTCTCCTCTTGTGTCCTCTTCTTGTCCTTGTTGGCCTTCTGCTGGAGTCCAAACGACAGCGTGGCAGCATGTAGACATGACGCCATGACAGCGTACGCGCCCGCGCACGCAGGCGCGCGAAGCACCCGGCAAGAGCGAAGAGCAGCATTCAGGTAGGCAAAAAGAATCTGGCCACAGTGTCAGGCCACGCCGGCGAGCCCTGTCCGGATGTCCTCCCCTTCTCACTTCTCCTCTTGTCACAATCTTTCGGTGCTGTCTTTGTTGTCCTTCTTCAGGTGTTCATGGCCGTGGCTGCCAGCCCATCTCCGGTTGTCCTCCTTCGTCGTCTTGTCTTTCTCTTGTCCGCTCTTCCTCTTCTCCTTTTGGCATAGTCCGGTCACGGCTTGTCCTGCTTTTGTCCTCTTGGTGTGTTCATGTTGTTTCCTCCCCTCATCCTTTTGTCCTCTGTTGTCCTCCTCTGGTCTTGCTGCTGTCCTTTACATTGCTTTCCAAGGCAGCTGGGGCTGCGGCCGCCACCACAACAACAATTCTTGCTGACTAAGCTGTTTGGGGTCTTTGCTGGCGTAATTTGATACGCCCTTTTGCAACACAGTGGCCAACTACTTGGACAGGCTGCTAAAAGCCAGTTTGATAGGACTGTGTTGCAGACTTTCTGCAAGCAATCACTTACACTTACACTTACACCATTTTTGGGAGACTGAAAGGTTCTTTGCTTGGGCACCACAGCGATAGTAAAAAGCTTCCTTTCCTCCCTTGGGATCCTTCAAGCAATTTTGTGCCAGGCTGCAGCTGTCGATAGCAAAGACAGCCTCAAGTTGGCCTTGGAGAAAGCTCACAGCTCAGTTGAAGAAGCCGACATGATCATGACATTCTTGAGTTGGCTTTGGATTGTAAATAAGGTTCGACATGTCACCGGTGTGTTCCATTTAGCTGGGGTGCTTGATGATGGCATCATCGGAGGCGCCGGGCGCGTGCGAGTGTGTGTTTGAATTTCCGAAGTGATCGATTTTTCCCGAATGCATAGCAAAGGGTTCTCGTTTAACTCTGGGGGTCTGGGGTAGACCCTTGTTCGCCACTCGTTGTCGTAGCGTTCGCAACCGTTTGCAGCGGTTCGGAGTGTTGCGCTACGAAGCTCACATTGGGTGAAGCTTTTGGACAGGGTTTTGGATGGAAGCATGAGGTGTTAGATTCGTGTCTGTGAAACAGCGAGGAACGTGTGTTAACGTGAGAGGATGAAGTGTGGAGGATGATTTCACTGCGCAGGCGGGGCGTTTTGTGAGATCCTCAGTTTTCTCCCCAGTCACATTGGGATTGGCGTTTAGAGAGTGGTGTTTTTGGGGCGTCGGATGTGGCTGTGACATTGGGATTTGCATTTCAGGCTGTGACAAGTCCCAGCTCAAACGGCAATTTTGGTGGATGGGAGTGTGCTCAACGTGTCGAAATCATTCCAAACGTGTGGTGTGGTGCAAGTTTTGCCGAAGCTAACATGATATGATATTGTCACACTTCGTGGCAGGCACAGTACTTTGTGCGGGCTTTGAGGTGTGAAAGTACCGTTTTCGTGGCGCACACAGGGAATCGTGAGGTTGCAAGATGTGGCGGAGGTCACATTTCAAGCAGGCGCAATACTTTGTGCGTGTTGGAGGTGTGGACGTGCTCCTACTAGAGTGTCCAACAAGAGTGTGCTACCAAGTACCAGAGTGCCCCACAAGAGTGTCCCACAAGAGTGTCCTACAAGAGCGTCCCACAAAATTGTCCTACAAGAGTGTTCCGCAACAGTGTCGCACAACATTATCATACAAGAGTGTCCCGCAAGAGTATCCTACAAGAGTGTCCTACAAGAGTGTCCCACAAGGGTGTTCGACAAGAGTGTCCTACAAGAATTTTATGAATCCATGGGGCAGAAGGTTGCCTGGTTGGAATTTCAGCCCGCACGCAGCCATTGTTCAGCGGACGAGGATAGCCTGTCCTACAAGGGTGTGGGACTGTCCTGCAAGAGTCTTCCGGGAGAGTGTCCCACAAGAGTGTCCTACAAGAGTGTTCCGCAAGAGTGTCCGACAAGAGTGTCCTGCAAGATCCTGCAAGAGTGCCCCACAAGAGTGTCCCACAAGAGTGAGCTACAAGAGTGTCCCTCCAAAGAGTGTCTTACAAGAGTGTTCTGCAAGAGTGTTCCGCAAGAGTGTCCCTCAAAAGAGTGTCCTACAAGAGTGGCTGTGGAACTGGCAGCTTTGTAGTGCAAACGTAGTGCAGGAAGCAGTTTCTGGGAGCTGTGGCCTCAGAACTGTCAACTTATGTGGCCAAATTACATCTGAGTACCTGAGTGTCGTACGTGAGTACCCCACAAGAGTGTTGCACAAGAGGCCACAAGAGTGTCCCACAAGAGTGTCCTACAAGAGTGTCCTGCAAGAGTGTCCCGCAGAGTGACGCAAGTGTCGCACGAAAGTGTCCCACAAGAGCGTTCTACAAGAGTGCCTCCTACAAGAGTGTTAAAAAGTGTTTGGGCGACTGTTTTCGAAAGCGTGTTTGCATTCGGGTTCGTGGGCTCCGTTTTGTTCCAAAAAATCCGCTATATAACTATGTAAGTAGGCGCCTACACTACCTAGGACGCAGGCTTGTTTGTTGGCCTCTTAAGATCTCTTAAGACTCTTGAGCCCGGATAGAAGCGATTCGCAGATTGATCTCATTTGGAACTCGATTTGTGCAACTAGGGATCGGAGATCTTCGTTGCCGGACAAGCTCTTGTGTTGCTGAATGTGCAGTGCAGCGTGACACTATTTTTGCAAGGCATGACGGAGCAAAGAATGAAAAAGGCTGGATGGTGCAAACCGGAAGTTTCAAGTTTGCTTTCAACTTCCCTATGATCATTTCATTTTGGAGGACAACTATGTCTCTGAACCTTATTGTGTCCAGAGTCCTGGTCTTGGGATTCAGAGATTGATTAACTGCATCAGGTGGCGCAGCCCAAGTGCGGCATGCTCCTGGCATTGCTGAAGGTAGCCAAGGAGCGCACAAACCTGAATCTTCCAGCTTTGAGTACGGAGTCAATTGTCAAAAAACCGTACAATCAAATTCTGATTGGATTGTTCAAAACAAGCAGTTCAGAGTACGGCACCTAGGACCTAGTCAGTCTAGTACACTGAGAACAAGTCGGCCTTCCATAGTCCTGTTTGAGAGGAATTGGATTGGCCGCTACAATGGGCCCTTGGATTCTCGTCTACGTCTTCTCTCTTTGGCTATGCTGGGCAGGCACTTAACGCTTACCTGCTCAACACAGCATGCTGCAGGAACACTGCCATGATCTCCTGCATGCATTTTGTTTGTGTGATGTTCTTCAGCTGTTTGTCATTCCTTTCCTCCAGAATAGTCTCAGTATTTCTTTTGGAATTTCTGGTGATAGTGATTGTGCAGAATCACAAGCGGGGTCAGACCTGTGTCGTACAAGGTGGACACAGGCACTGATCAGCTGCAACTAAACTTATGACATGTGGGTTACACATTGAAGCTTTCTTGACCCATTACGGTTTGGATCGGATGGTGCGCCTATACAAATATCGAACAGAGAGATTACACACAATGAAGAGACTGCTGCAAAAAAGGCTGTGGCTGTAGTTTAACCGGTTCGATTGATGGTGTATGACATCGAAGGGCCATTTTCGCTTTGAGGTGAATTATTGCGCAGCCAACTCGATGCTGGATCACATGTCAACCTTTGCCAGCGATGGGGCGCTGCCAGAGGTGTGGGAAGAAAACTACTGCCAGCACCTTTTCATCCCAATTGTGAAACAGGATGAACAAAGAAGTTGTTTGGGCCTCTTTAATACATAACGGTCTGCCTTCGGGACGCCGGGCAGGTGCGTCATCACGTCACGTCAGCGTCACGTCACGTCAGTCACCGGCGCGTCACTACGTCACGTCAGCGTCACGTCGCGCACGTCACGTCACGTCACCGGCGCGTCACCGTCACGTCAGCGTCACGGTCACGTCACCGTCACGTCACCGTCACGTCACTCCAAGGCCGTCACGTTGGCGTGGCATCGCTGCATGAGTTAACTCCATGAGCGTCCGACAAGACTTCCATAAATGCACTTTATAAAGGAGACGCCGTCAGCATCTCAGAGCTGATCAAGACTCGGCGTAATCGATAGGGGCCAACCCGATACGGACCGATAGCCTTCCTTGGCTTGAGGCTATGGCAGTAACATGCGAGCAAGAGACAGTTGCGCAAGAAGATATTTTCCACATTAAGGCAAGTGCCTAGCAGTTGCAAGTTAATTAGTTGACTTGCCAAATATCACAAAAAATCACTACCACTACTATTCCTACTGCTACTACTACTACTACTACGACGACGACGACTACTACTGCTGCTGCTGCTGCTGCTGCCACTACTTCTACTATTCGTATTTCCATTATTACCTATTACTTTTATTACATTGTTCTATTTCTACTGCTACTGCTACTACTACTACTACTACAACAACTACAACTACTACTAGTATCCTTTCTCAGTCCTGGCTATGAGATGTCTGTCTGAGTACCTAGCACAGCTTCTTGCAATCATGAAGCTAGATTTTGCTTCGATATTCAACAGCAAATCAAGACAGCCGGCACATCAAGGAATGCCTGTGCCGGAAAGGAAACGTCTGTCACTGTGAACGTGCCTGTGCTGGAAACACTGGGCGCAACCCATCTCTGCACCATTGCAGCTGTCTACGTGCCGGCTGGTGACACAGTCTGCCATGGGTTCAAGAGCAAAGGAAGAGTTTAAATGTGTCGCTCAGGGGATTTCTTTACCTAAAGTGCCTGCGCCTAAATTTGGTGCCCCTAACACACACTTCAACGCAAAAA